ATTTATTTATTTAATAATTTGATATATATTAATAATTAGGTTTGGCAGAATTTTTTCTTAAAATTTAAATTTAATTGATCGTTTTGATTTTGTTCATGTAAAATATACACTTATAAGTAGTATTTTTAGTATATTCGAGAATATTTATCATATATTTATATATTTTTATATATGTATATATATTAAACTCATGCTTTTTTATGTAGTATAATTTATTCAAATTGTTAAAAATGGACAGTTTTAGAATTTAGCTGCTTTTCAGTCATACAAGTTGCAGTAAAATTATAATATTTTATAAATAAAATTTTATAATATTAATACGATTAAATTTACAAATATTATAGTACATATTTTATGATAAAATATGGATATACAAAATGTATCAATACAAAATAAATTTTTATCAAAATTTTTAATTCATATTTACAACATTTTTTAATTTTTTAATGCAAAAATTTTATAAAAATTGTAAAAATACGTTTTATATTTTCTTATAACATTTAGTTTTAATTTGACTTTATTAGGATTTAACATTTTTCCATATAATATTTTTATATTTTAAATCAAAAAAATTAAAGCATTAGTTCACAAAGTTTTTTTCATTCTCTTATTTAGTAAATCAAAGCAAATTTCATTCCAAATTTTTGCATAAAAGTAAACATTTAAATATATAAAATCAATAAATTAATTAAAATTTAGTTTTGAGTTATATAAAATTTATGTTTATATACTATTAAAATATATACAAAAAATTCATAATTGCTAAAACTACTACAGTATTCGTATTTTGTTAATTCTTAAACAAAATATATAAAATTTGTTAAATTTATATTAATAGACATATAGTAATAAAAAGTATATTCATGTGCGATGAATTGTGCAATTTAAAATAATTATTTAACTTATTATTTATATTTTTAATATTCATTGCTTGTTTGTTCGTTGTTTTGTTAACAATGTAAAATTTAAGATCACAAAACTAAAATATAAATTTTTATAAACTAATAACTAAAATGCTAAATGGATGAGAGCAATAAAAAAATGTTATTAACTAAAATGAAAAATAATAATATGTATTGTACTGTTTATAGTTTCTTTGAATAAAATTTATAAATTAAAATACATATACAGGGTATTATATAAGTTTTTAAAATATTACTATTAAATACAAAATAAAAAAATAAATATATTTAATAATTACTATATTTTATTATAGTTTTGACATCATAATTTAATTTATTTTAATGTAACTAAATTTTTTTTTTTATTTTAAATAATGATTTATAGTTCTGAGGCCTAAAAAGGGAAAAAAGGGAATACAAATTAAATACTGAGGATATCAAAAATACTGAGAAATCAGGAGTCCAAAGTTAAGTAGGGAGAAAATATATGAAATAGGTGTTATAAAGAACACCTTATCAAGTTAGAAATGAACTGAAATAGCTGTCAATTGAATCATCTTATTATTAAAAGCAGGAGCATCAAATCGGTAATTAACCCATTCCGATTTAATTTAAAATAATTATATCGGTCTACACCGATTTTGATTCAAACAAAAATAAGTTTCTTTTTGTTCAGTTTTGTTTGAATATGTTTTATAGTATTTAGCTATGTTACAAATTCTATTCATTAAAATAAAATAAAAAAATAAATATTGTTTTTTAAATTCTATTAATTAAAGTTTTAACAATCGATGAGAAATGCACATGAAGAAACAAATACCAAACTTTACGGTGCTAAACCGAAATAATCCATTATATTTTTTTCAGTTCGGTTCCGTTTTTGCTCTATAAAAAAAATTAGTTATTTTTGGTTTTCGTTTCAGTTCCGGTTCGAAGCTTTGAATAAAAGTAGATAAAATAATAATAGTTTTATATTTTCTTAAGAGAAAAAAAATGAAAATATTTAAAATTTTACGTCTTCTGGATAAAACTTGAAGAGGTAAGCAGAGTATTATATAGAGTAGAGTTTTTCAACCCAAAAACGAAAGACGAACAGAAAAAAATATTTGAAGTTAACGAGGTAAGCAGAGTCTAATGTGGAGCAGTGTTTTCTAACCCAAAAACGAAGTATGGACAAATAAAATATTTGATGAGTTTTTCAAGAACTGGTGCTAATATTTTCCAAAAAAAAAAAATATCATAAGAGACAAAAATAATTTTTTTTTTGTAGCATTGATATGAATGCCATGGACCGGTGGTTGAGAAACGCTGACATAAGAATTTTAAAATATTAAATATATTATGAAATATATCATAAACCTTATTAGAATATTGGAAGATTATACAATTATATTATGTTTTGAAGGTAGATCTGTTATTTCACAAAAGGGAAAGGATTAAAATTCAATGAATAAACTTGTTTAGGTTCGTCCTATCCAACTATAAAATTTGAATAATTTTCGAAACTAAATCTGTTAATCTGGCAAATAAAAGATTTACGGAAAAAGAACAAGTTTTATTGGGACACGAGAAAGATGTCAAATCAAAAAAGTTTTTGAAAATAAATGTATTACTTTAAGAAATAGTTTGTATTTGAACCAAATGTGAAAATAATATTAGACTCTAAGAAGATTATAAAATCGGAATGACTTTCAAAAGTAGAGGGATTTACAAAACAAAAAAAAACCACAAAGGCACAAATTTAATTAGAACAGTTTTCAGAACTCCTTACTTAGGGCATTAAACAAACAAGATATCTATGAAACAAAAATTAAAGATAAGATTATTAACTCAACATCTCTTAATGGAAAATTTAAAGAGCCAGACAAAGAGCAATGGGACATAAGAATTAATAAACTAGAGAAATTTTCGAAAATGTTATTCAATACTTTAATTACTTTACTTTATTATAATAATAATTTATAGTTATTATAAAAAAATAATTATAATAATTACCATTATAATATAATTATAATAATAATTATAATTTAATTATAATAGATTGTACTTTCATATATTATATATTATTTTACATATATTATTATTATAATTATTATAATATAATTATAATAATAATAATTATTATTATTATAATAATTAATAATTATAATAATAATTATAATATAATTTTAATGATACTCATAATTATAATTATAATTATAATGATAATTATAATATAATTTATAATGATAATTATAATATAATTATAATATATTTTCGAAAACAGATCTTTTATCTCAAGAAAGGGAATAGAGACATTTATTATAATATGTTTAGTATAGGTATAAAAAATGTAACAATTGTAAGGACCAAGGAAATAGCATTTAATATATAGTGAGCACTATATATTAGTGCTCACTATATATAAGTAAATTACAAAAATATTAAAAAATAATTTAGACATTCTTCTCTCTACATGTCAAATAGGCCTCTTAGTACCTCTATCGTAAATTTACTAAAAAATTGATAATTTTTGTTCTTGAAGGTTTTTAATTCTATAGTGATATAGTGATGCTGAGTAATATAAAAATTGTTTAAAAATGAAATGATTTTTTAAATAATATACAATAGTGCTTTAATTTCAGTATAAATTTCAAATTTTAAGGTTAAATTTGAACATTGTGTTCAACCACTGTATATATCCAAAATTATTCGACCTACTTGAAGGTGTCATCTGCTCAATATATCTTTTATTTTCGGTTTCTATAATAAAAATACATATTTCAGCAAATCTCGAATATCGAATGTTTTATAGTGTTGGAACACTTTCGAGAATATAGTTGAAGATTGAACTTGATTTTCGGTTACAACGAATCTTAAATCGATTACAATACATAAACAGTATGTATATTGTCTTTATTCGAACAACGAAATACTTCAATCAGTGCGAATAATATTAAACACTGTGTAGAAAATAGTATAGTTTAAATATAAATTTATACTGTATATAAAAATTGATCAAAATCTTGCAGTCAATAGTTTCAGTTCATATGAAATAATAATTAAAATATATATCTACACATAGTATCTGTTACATTAAAGGCCAGTTATAAATTTACTGTATTATTATCGAATAATAAAAGATCATATAATATCGCCCACAAAAAACGCATCGTTTTGTGTAAAACTGATATTATGCAATCTGTTTCAAGCCTCTTTACGGTGTGACCTTAAAAGCCAAGCCAAGCCAAAAAAACCCTTTTATCATTTCAGTATATAAAAAATGATTGTTTAAAATATGTGTACGTATATATATGTAAAACTTGCTATACATATGCACTTCACATTATTTCAACAAACTCTATATAAAAATTTATACAATACCCTGTAATATGTTAACTTTTCAATTATATCTTATAAGGAATACTTTAGGTGTTAATGTAAATGTTTGGATGCTGTGTGTTAATTACCTTCTCCACCATTACCAAAATTATTTGATTTTAAAATAATTTTAAATATTGTGTTATGTGTTTCTATCTAAATGTCTTCATGTATCTCATGAGATACATGTATCAAGAATGACTTATGAGAATGAATTACGTTTGTTATGAATTAATGTTAATTTGATATAAGCTACCAAAGTAGAAAACAAAAAAAAGTATTTAGTTAAGAGATTTTCAGTATAAGTCAATAAGTTTCATCTTATTTAATACTTAAAAATAATATTATTGTTGCATTTAATTATTATCGTTGTAGTTACTCATGTTGTTGTTGTGGTTATTGGCATGGATGCTTTTAGCTGCCGTCGTTGTTTACATAATAAGGCGCTGCTGTATGCTGTATGCTGTATCGTCTAGTATCGTTACTCTGTAATCCATTTCATTTAAATATATAAAGTAAATAAAATTCCTTTTTATTGTTTTGCTGCTGATAGCTCAGATACATGTCAACAATTCGTTGCCTTTCATTCTCTATCTTTTCTTTGCGTTCGATTTTTTTTCTCTTAATTTTATCTGTCTAAAATATTTGAATACTGTTTTTTTATATCTTTCAGTTCAAGTATCTGAAGATTCTGGTATAGGTTTTTGTTCTTCTCCTTTTTTATTATTTTCTTTTTTTTTTTATGACGTCTTTAAATGTTTAAAACTTTTTTTTTATTTATTGCGGTGTAAATAAACTGCCGTCGCCTGCAAAATTTCAAAATACTGTAAAGAAATGGATAGCAATTAAAAAAAAGATACATTAAACTTTGCTACATTTCATATTATTTATTTTTATTTATGTGGTTTTCATTACGTTTTTTTATTGAAGTTTATTTCTTCATATATTTTGCATTCACAAATGCGTTTCATTTAAATGAGGCTAAACAAAAAATTATAGCAAAAATTGGCATAAAACTTAAAACTCATTACGCAAGTCAACTTGCAGTTCAAGTTAGCAGATATTCCGTCAGCAGATATTCGAGCAAGAATCCAAAGGAGTTGGGCTACACAAATTTAAATTGCCTTCAAAAAATGTTAATTATCCAACAGCCTTAATTATGATATTTTTAGGTTTATGTAGAAAAACTAAAGCCATTCAAAGCGTATGTGAAACATTTTTTGGTTAATATTTATAAGAAAAAGTATTTTTTTATATATGGTATGTACTTTGTGCTTGGCTTAGGTTGTCATAAAAATTAAATAATTACAGCAATTTATCAAGTAAAATATGAATTAAGAAATTATTATGCTAATGAATAATTAAACTCGTTTTTAACATTTAATTAAATAGAAGTACTACATTAAAATGTATAAAGTATCTCATTCCGCCTATAACTACACAACATATATATATATAATAGATATATACATACTTTAACAACATATGCATATAATAAACACAAGTATTCTCATAATTATTCTATATAATCGTTAGAATATACTTGCGCCCTCTTCAAATTCTATATAAAATTAGTTAAATGGAAGTACTACATAAAAATGCGTATATATAAATTAATTAAATAATATATAAATATAATAAGTATATATGTAATATATATACATACATATAATACATATTATGTATATATATTATTTCAACAGAAAATACATATAATGCATATATCTATTTTAAAATCATATCCATATAACATATATCCATCCTAACAATTATTCTATAATAGTTCAAATATACTTACAGTCCTCTTTAATTTTTATACAAAATTAATTACATGAAAGTATAGCATTATTATTTAAGTAATGGGCTATAAAAGCACCCCGACCTAAAAGATCTATTGTGGGCCTAAAGGCCCAACTAGGACAATTTTAGACTATTTATAAATCTTGTAATTGCTGTGGGCCCAATTTTACCTATTTGACTTCGCACTAAGTTCCCGCTTCCAAGGAAATCGAGTCCACGTCTTGCCACCGCTGGGCAGTTGCATAGAACATGTTCAGATGTTTCCTTCTCCTCATGACAGAGTCGACAGGAGTCACTTTCTACAACACCTATAATCTTTATGTGGTAATTAAGTCTACAGTGTCATGTAAGAAGTTCAGTGTAGATTTTAATATCGTTTCTGCTAAAGCCAAGGATAGCATCAACTTTGATGTGATCAGGATCAATGAATCTCTTTGACTGTCGCATGCCTGTTTGGGCTCTCCAGTGTTCAAGTAGATGTTGTTTTTCCCGTTCACATAATAAGCTATTTGTAAATCATAGCATAAAAATGCATGAAGTATATCAGTCAGTCTAGTAACTAAAGATTAGCAGAAAAGAGTAGGAAATCCAGAAAATGTGAAGTATTTAACTGTTATCGTCCTGTTATCTAGGACGATAAAACATCGATTTGGAAAAATTAAGACTTTTCTGGATACAGCCAAAGTGAAAGAAATTTCGCAGTAGTTCTGAATGAAACGGAATACAAAAGTCCATCAATGGGCATAATGCCACTAAAGTTCAAGTGCATTAAATACCGATACTAACCTGTTATCTACTCTAACAACATATACATATAATTTTTCTATGACAGCTTAGTGACACTTAAAACCATTTTGTTTTATGAACAAAACAATTTAAATAAACTTCTACTACATATAAAAGTATAAAATATCTCAGTGATTTCATTATTTATTTCAATAGGTGATGAATTAATATTTTATATATTATTAATTTATTTATATATTTTAAAAATTTTATAGAAGAAGTAAACAGCCGTCACATTATCTTCGCCCTTAACAGAAGTCGTTACTCCAAGCTGATGATGAAATGGTTTGAAAGTCAAAATGAAGCATGCATTTTATTTTGTTATATACACAATAGATATCTAAGGTAAACGGAATAATAAACCTATAACCCATAACATATTATTGTTATATATACATATATACAACAGTGAAACTCCGAAGGAGATGATCATTGATCATTGTATATGATACATATAGTCAATACATTTGCAGTTACACAAAGCAAAGCTAATCTTTATATATATGTATGTACGCACACCTATATCTCTCATATTAACGTATATTCGAAGTGTTATTTATTACTATATTAAAAAAGAAAGTTAAAACGAATAAGTGCCTAAACAATCATTAAGTTGTTAATCGTATTTACCATCAATTGTAAATGCAATTTTAAAGATTGTGATTATTTTCAGTTACTTGCGAAGTCCGTCAGTTGAAAAGAAATATTAAAAAATCGCATACCGGCGACACTAGTGTTTGTCACCGAATATATAATGAGTATGTTTACATCAGATAAGACTTCTAATACCATTTCTTAATAATACTTCAATATATTACAGTCTAGGTGAGTCATTTCTTAAGCACATTTTAAAAACACAACTAAAATCACACTTCATTCCAGAAGCGGGGAACATCATTTGATAAATATCTATATTTAAAGTAAATAAACTATATAAAAATAACAAATCTACGTTATTCATGGTATTTGATAAATGACAAAGAAACAATTATTATCAAAAGGCAGATTTAAAGATTTTTTTGTTTAAATTGAATAGCTCTAATGTGGGCTTCACAATATTTTTATTTACTAAAAATATAACAGACCGTTATAGACAGTTTTCTAAATAACATAGTAACAATCCACAAAGACAAAATGTTTTTATCTTACTTAACTGTTCTGTTACTTCAGTCACTTATTATCTGTTAGTTTTGACCCGCTTACTTATAAATTAGATTAGAGTATTTAGAAGTGTCGAGTTCACGCGTACCTAGTATTATAGAACATTCGGCTTGTGAACTAATTTTATTCGATAGGATGCATAACAAACATAAATGAAGGAGTTACAAAAATATCATGGCACTAAATTACAAAAGAAACCTAGATAAAATTGACATTTTTTCACTTTTTTGGTGCAATTAGCTGGCACTTTCATCTTTAGTTATTTTAACTTGTATCTGTATTTAATCTAATTTGAGTGCTGACAATTTCCATGAGGGAGTTTACTTGTTAATTTTTATTAAATTAACTTTTCAGAATAAACACTATAGAAGTTGTGGAAATTTAGATGAAATGAAAGTTTTTTTCTGCGATTAGGTTAGGTTAATGTGGTAGTCCAACTCGCTTGAATTCTACAGATATATATTATTTTATTATCAGTATAAAAATTGTGTAAATCTAGATCAAAAAGAAAAGTTCTTTTTTTTTGTGATCAGATTAGTTCCAGGCCATAGGAATAGATTCACAGATTAGATTAATGTGACAGTTCAACTCCATAGGCTAAATAGGCTAAAATCTAAAAATAGATTTTAAGGGGAGTGATTGTTTAACAGTTTACTGGATTGCTTATCGGTGACAAACGAAAATCGGTTAGGTTATTTCTTTCTTAACAAGTTTATTACGCATGTATTATTTGAAATGAGAATAATCGTTGATAATGGGAACCAAAAAGGTATCTACTGATTTTAGTCACTGCAACCAGCTTACCAACTAAAGTAGAACACAAAATAAACTGAGTACCGACTTCCAGAAAGTGAAACACTACGACCATGATTGATCTTACTGTTTCTAACTAAACAATGTGATGGAAGCTAAAATGTCAGTTTTGGAGGACATCCTAACTTCAGACAAGGATAGGACCTCGGTACTTAGCAGTTTCTCTTTTACCCAGATGAAAGCTAAATAGTAACATAAAATGTGACAAGAACTCTTATCCAATTCCAAACAGAGACAACATTCTGTCTACTCAGAATTCATTTTCTTAAGATAATGCCAAAAAGCTCAGTTCCATTTTATTGAACTGGGGATAGGGGATGTCGTGCCAGTAGTAATTTCTTTTGGCTACAGACTATTTTTCTATCGGAGACCTCATTGTAGACCACAATAAGACTTCGGTCCTTAGTGGATGATCGAGCCTTTAAAAGATTATTTGCTAACTCGTTGCAGATAATTTCGGTAATTTCAATATCAATGATGCACAACGCACTATCGCAAAACTTGGAAGGTCAATTGTCGAAAATATCGATAAAATCATGTCAATTATTGAGTGAGATCGTCATGTAAGCAATGTTTTGATTGCCCAAGAGCTAAACAGTGCACAAAAAACCGTTTCTTATGTTGAGCCTTTTTCGAGTTAGTGCATCTGTACATGATAGCTGGGGGTTACTGCAGAGTCCCACCCATCTCACTGACAAATTTGAGTATTCCTCATAATCTTCGTGATTATTCAATAATTGATCTAAGATCTGCGTACCGCCACGTGCGGCTAGTGATTACTCTGAGATTAGATAGTGCTAAGTAGGGCAGCCTGTTGGTTTTCGCATATAGCTTCAGAGCTCTGTCCCTTATGTATTTTTTGACCGGATCTATTCTAAGGTCTCTTAGCATGTCATTCGTGCGGATGTTTGAAACCATTTGAATAAGGCTTGATATAAAAAGAACCTCGATATCAATTAGCATTATCTATATGGCAGAGTGCCCAACCCATCTATTATATAGTTAAAGAAAGAACACGCAATTAAAATTAACAGTATTAACACTACAACAACGTTTAATTTACCAAAAAAAAACAAAGAAATATTTTTTCAATTAATTTACTGCATATTTAAGGAAAATTGAATTAAAAAATTAAATTGACCTTACTCTTATATTGATTAAATTAAACATGCATCTAACATAAACCAGCATTACTCATAACAAAAGAAAACAACGTGTTGCCAGCTAATGTAGAATTTAGTTAAACGATATCTGATTTAATAAACAAACTTCAAAGACGACAATGAGGAAAATGAGGAAAATGTATCTAATTGAGAAATCTGTAGAATGTTGGCCATACGGAAGGCCTACTTGAAAAATTTCATTGTGTTTCGTTTTAATAAAAACATATGCCAACCAGAGCAGACGTAATGAGTCAAGTAATTTAATTATTTTTTGGAAAAACATCTTCACATCCATTGCAAAATAATTCTGAATCGGTTTTACAACAACTTCCTTTGTCTGATTTATTTTCTTTTTTTGGAAAATTTGCCAATATTTACGCATTCTCAATAAATTTTACGACTCGCTGGCGCATATCATAAAGCAATTAAGTTTGTGTTTTCAGAGATGAGATTTCCCTTTCTTGTCTCAAGTGTGTTTACATATGTATGAATCTTTCGGAAAACCTTCAGTTTTTTGTGAGTTCGGTATCGGACTATAGAGCTACTGCGCAACCAGGTAGGTAAATAGTAAATAGTAATTTCTTAATTGTAGTTTTATGATCTCTTGCACTTTCTATTATATCTTAATATGACCCGAAAACAGCGATTTCAAACGTTTTTTAATTTATTTCGCTTTTAATGTTAGACGATAGACGATAGACAATAGACGAGTTCGTAGAAAAAGAATATTAAAGTGAAGAATAGAAAAGTTTAATTTTCACAGACAGTTAATGAGTTCATTTGCACATTGCGCTAATTTTTATATTTTACTTAACTTTCGAATCTAGAGCTGCTCATCAGATATTGTACTTATAACCGCTAGACAAGAATAAAGTTGTTTATATTTTATTTAATGAATAACATTTTTGAAAGTTATATTGCACTTCTTCTCATTGAGAGATCTCAATTAAGTAGTTTCTTCTAATATTATGTTGCTTTGAATCCAATAGATTTGGTAAATAGCCCCTAGAGAGTTACTGAATCAATGATTTTGATTCAAACTGTATTTAATTAATAGTTCGTATAATTGAAAAAATCTTATTGAGAATTGAAAAAATATTACAAATGTGTAGATATTTTATGTTCTTAATGTGTCTAGTATACAGCGTAACAAATTTAAAAAAAAAATGTAATACACTGAAAAAATAATCAGCTTATGATTTAAATGGGATACGCGATTTTGTTAATTAATAGAACAAATGTTACACAAATATATTTTGTTTTAAATTAGTGCTAAATATAGAAAATGTCAGAAGTAATATAATTCTAGAATCTTTTCTTGATACCATAGCGAGATTTATTTAGTTATCATTATGTAAAAGTCTATTGAAACCGTTTAGTTCCAAGATTTTTAGAGAGTCATTAGAGCCAACCAATAATTAATAGAGCCCCTGTTACACAAATACATATTCTTAAAGTGGTCCTAAACATAGAAAATATCAGGAGTAATATAAGTCTATATATAATATAAGTATTAGGAGATGTGTCTAGTTATCAATATGTAACAGAAACTGTTTAGTTCCAACACACTGTTACACAAATATATATTTTTTAAAAGTAGTCTCAAACATTAAAATAATTTGCACTAACATAACCCTAGGCGACTTTAGATAATATAATTGATGATTTATTTCACCTTCTCAATTATTTCTAATAAAAATTCTTTGAAAAAAAATTAAAAAATAGTAATCCCAGACATAAAAAGGGTGAGGGTTTTTTATATAAGACTGGACTCTATTTGAGATACCATTTGGTTGTATATATCACCTCCCCAATCAACTCCAATAAACCTTTTAGTTTTAAGACACTACTAAACAAATATATTTTTATATTATTAGTAGTAGACCTGAACTTAAAAAGTGTATATTAGTACTCATATAATCCCAGAGACTTTTTATAACACCATGGGAGAATTTATGTTATGTCCTCTATTGTCTTTAATGAACCTTCCGATTTCAAGACATTTCTACATATATTAATTATTTTTTTAATAGAGTTTATTAGCACTAAACTATACTATTTTGTATAGTTTTGGATCTCAATTTGTCAACCATCCCTCATAAAGCCTTTGGTTTCAAACTAGTTTTAAATATACACTTTTATTGTTTAATAGAATTTATTAGTATACAGTATTGAGACTAACATAAATCGAAAGGATCTATGTGATACCGTTGGGGGTTTTCTCACACCTTCTCAGCTATCCCAAGTTAATCGTTTTGTTCTAATACGAATCACAAGCTAAGTTAATATATGGTAGACCTTCAGTTTGATTTATTTTAGAGTAGTTGTTAGTTTACTTTTTTAATTCTTTATAGTTCATAAACTTTATAACAATTATAAAGAATCACAAGCTTGTGTTTACAAGCTTGTGTTTGTGCGAAATAATTTCTTGTAAAGACTAATACTTTTGCGGCGTAGGTCCAGATTTTAGAAAAAAAGGCAAAATTACAAAGAATAGCTAACAGAAGTAGTAAAGTTATCACACATCAAAGCAACTCTTTCCGAATATATGCTATAAAGGAACTAACTATACGTATTTAGGTAGTAAAGGAGTTGTTATAGTCAAATGCCGACCTTAAAAGCAAGTACAAAAATGAGGTCGAAACATTGCATAAGGGATGGAATGAAAAGGATGGTATTGTGCAAAATAGGTGTAAGGGTGATGAATAGTAATAATATTCAATTTAACCTGAGTCTAAATGAAATAATTTTATCACCTCAACAAAGGGCAGCCTATCCGCTAACCGTATATTGACATCAAAACCGTTAGGCAAATATGTCTATCTGTATTGTGACATCAAAACGGATAGGCATCGTCATCTGGAATAGAGGTGCATGAGTGACACATATTGATGCTAGATATCCTTATGCATGACAAGTAATTATTTAGTACATGGGTATATTCTGACTTTAATTGGACAAGCATAGTTATTGTATGTTTTTTCTAAAACGTTTTAGTTCCAAAAGAACTTTTTGTTTTTAATATTTGAAAATCACATTTGTACTAACATCCATTTCCATTGATATAAAAGTCCATGTATATAGCAATTTTTCCACAATGGTAATTTTGTTTTTTATTGAGGTTTTAAGTCAGTTTTCATGTGAAATAGATGTTAATACTAGGGTTAAAGACCGTTATATTTCAAAACAAATAATTTAATTTGTATAAACATAGTATATGTGAAAATAATATTGAAGATAAATAATAACATACATAGCTATATAATAGAGAGTATGTATTTATATAATTTTCCTGGTAAATGAATAATTCTTTATTTTAGTGATGCCTTTAAATATTTGACTTTCTTCATAAGCAACATTTGATTAATTCAACAAACGTTATTAAATTATATATTTCATATAAATATTTATATACCTGCAATATTTCCTACTTTTGAGACAAGTGAAGGTTTATTTATGAATGACAGTGTATAAATATTTAAGCAAATAAACTTAATGTCACTCACCTTAGCATACCGTTTCCATTGGTATCTTAGCTTGACTTTGATTAGCGCCAATTGTCGTATTTATCGATGTATTTTGTGTTATCTCAGCACCACATGCAGCCATTGATGGTAGACCTTGAGAGGATGATGAATGTTGTACACCATTAGTTGTATTTGTAATTTCTTGACGTGAACGTGGACAACAGAAACGTTTACATGCTGCCCAAACTTGCGGTTGACATCCAACAACTAAGAATATGAAAACACCTTGCAATGCATTTACCAAATCAGTGAAGAACCAAGCATAATCAGGACCTCCAATCAAAACAGATATAATATCTGCAATCCATGTTACACCCATCACAACAACTAATTTCAGACAAACTTTGCCTAATGCTGTTTTTTCAGTTGTGGACTTAACATCGTCACGCTTCCAAAGCCCACAGGTCAATTGATGTGTAGTGGATACAAATAAAATAATATTGGCAAAAAGTAAAATACCAACAGGTCCAAAGAAATAAGCAAACATAGGCAAATAATCACCACTAAACCAACAACTACGCACACCAAATCCTGGACGTAGTAATTGTGTTTCTGGCAAATGATCCACGATTGCAGCTATAACCGTAATCAATAATGGAATTCCCCAAGCATATGCGGAGTATAAACGTAAACGCACCATTTCTTGATTGCGTTCCAATGAACTTGGGCGGAAATCCCGAAATGTCCACCAAATATTGAAGCACATCGTATTCAGCCAAAAGAATGCGGAAAGAAAGTAAAAGTGCATAGCACTCGCGAGCAATAGACACGCAGATGAGCCCAGTTCTAAAGAGCTCGAGAATTGTGTGTAGGCGAGCAGTAAATCACCGATGAAGAGGCAAAAGACATAAAATATTTGACAACGCCAGTGCAGCACATGATGCACAGAAGGCATTAAATAACCCGCAATTAGCGTGGCCGCCAAAAAGATCACAGATATCACAATTCCAATGTTGAGTACAGCGACCTGCAGTTGATCATTTGATTTGTGCGTTGGTGAAATGGAATTTGCTGGCGCATCCGGTGCAAAATGATGAAGACAAGCAAATATTTTGAATTTTGTCGGTGCGTCCTCCTCACGTAGATGCTCCAAGCAAAATTCTGTAGCGGATAAGTTTTTATGCTTCAATTGCAGCAAACCAGTGGACGTATTGAATAGTGTCGGTTGCCAATCATCTATGATAGCAAATGATGAAGAGATTTCATTGCATTTCGGGAAACCATATACAGTCTGAAAGACGCTTTCATTCAATGGCAACTTAATTTCATTGTTGCTTACTGTTGGCGCAACACACTTCTTTACCTTTGCATCGTAAGTGCTGTATTTGCCACAACATTTCTTTATTTTAAAGTGGCTATCACTCTTTTTATGCTTTGGTAGGCACACCAAAGCAGATTCGCGATCGACACAAAATTGACTTGGTTCAATAAGTAAGCCATGCTCGAGCACAAATAATGAACCATTCGAAAAGATTGTGAAATTTTCTAAGCCAGTGAATAGATCCAACTCATCAGCGTCGCAGCCCTGCTGCTCAGTGCTCGTACTATTCATATCGTTATCGTCTGTTGGTATATGTTTTGCAATAGGACGCATATTCTCCTCGAAGGTTATAAACTTAGGGCTTTGTCCTCTGGGGTTGTAGTAGGATTTGCGACTTATAAGCCATATCAATGGCACCCAGTGCTCTGAACTGCCGGGCATGCATGTCTGCATTAAGTCTAGATATTCACCAAAATGGCAACATTTATTGAGACGCACACGCGGCGGTGGCATACGTTTTGCTGGCATTTGTCCTGACACCGCTTGCGGGAGTGTCACATCGGGAGTGTTACCGGTCACATCGCCAGACGCCAAGGCTAACGCGCTTATTGTATTCAACTTTTGATTTATTACAAACACACTCACACATAACGAAATTAGCAGTCTTGTGCTATATTCATAAATTTTTGCGGTTTTCATTTTTTTCTAAATTTTGTTTTTGTTTTATTTATTTATTATTATTTTTACTATCTACTATTTATGGTTTATACACTTGAGTATAAAAACGAACTTTTCTTTTGAATATTTGTGGCTTTTTATGTATTATTATAATTGTTATTATAATGAAAATACTGCTTCAGCTGCATTGTTTTCGCTACTTCGTTTCACACTTCACAATTGCTACGCTCCGCTCTGCTCTGCTCGACTGTGTACTTCTTAAAGTTTATTTCTACGACACGCTGCTTGGAGTTCCATTGTTTTGCAATTACCACAATTTCACTATTGCCAGATACTTTTATTTCCTTGTGCACTATTTCTTAGTAAAAGTTATTGTTGTTTTACTGGTTAAAACACGGAATATAAATTGCGATATAAATGTCTTTTATCAAAGGCTTAATTGAAACTATCTAACTAGTAAATAAACACACAAGATGCGAGATGAGTTCGTTCCCGACTAAAATTAAAATAATAATAAATAAGAAAAAGGTAATCCGCGTTCGTTCGTTTACAATTGCATCACGCTCGCAACACACATGAGAGATTTCGAAATAATTTTTTGGTATTTCTCTTTCTTCGATGTTCATTGACGTTCAGCTCACTATAGTGACATGGTCCACTTCGAGTAATCGTTTCTGTTTTCTTCGCTATGCTAATAAAAGTAACCATTTTTTCAAATTAAAATACGTTACGTTAAAATATGCACTTTTATTGAAATTATTATAAATATAATTATTATTGTTTAACAGTTACTGTTAAAATTTTTTTAATAATAGTGTTAAAATAAATAAATAATAATAAATATATATAAACAACAATAATAAAATTCTAATAAGCAAAAACAGCTAATTCAAATAACAGTTAATTCAAATAAGATAAAATATGTGTAAAGTTAGATAAAGTGACAATATATAATAATTTAATTTATAACATGTATATAATATTATTGTATTTTATAATAATATAAATATAAATGAAATAAATAAAAAAAAAAATAAAAAATGAAATAAATTGAATTTTATTTGCATCCTAGTAATAAGACTAGAGTAGCCTAATGAAAATTTTAACTTAAACAATAAAACGTACTGGTCAAAAACTTCATTATTAATAAAATACAAATAAATTTTTTAAATTAATAATAATGAAATTCTAATAAGCAAAAACAGCTAATTCAAATAAGATAAAATTATATGTAAAGTTAGATAAAGTGACAATATAATATATATATATATATATATATATATATATATATATATATATATATATTATATATATATATATATATATATATATATATATAATAAATTATAACATATATATAATATTATTGTATTTTATAATAATATAAATATAAATGAAATAAATACAAATAAATTTTTTAAATTAATAAAAATAAAATTCTTATAAGCAAGAACAGCTGATTCAAATAAGATAAAATGAAATGTGAAGTTAGATAAAGTGATAATATATACACATCAAGAATAACGTTTGGAATGATGGAAAAGATGAATGCTATTTTGGAGTATAAAATGAATATTGGGGTGGGATATTTTATCCGTTGCAAATACGAACTTCTTGATCTTCTGACTTTTATTAGACAAGCAGAATGTCTACTGTTAAGGTTCATCGTGGTTTCTAATACACAAAATCTAATTTGGATATCACTGTCTACTGTTTACATTTTATTAATTATTAGGAAACTATTCTTAGGAAATTATTAGGAAATTTTATTAGTTATTATATATATATATATATATATATATATATATATATATATATTTAATAAATTTAAATAAATTCTTTAATAAAATAGTTAATAGTTTAAAATTAAAATTAATTAAGGATAAATAGGATAAGCAAATTTAACTGATTTAAATTCAATATAAACACAGTATAAGTGACAATACTAATATATATATGATCATTTATATCTTATATATGATATTGCTGTGTTTTAAAATAATACAAATTTAAATGGAATAAATTGAATAAATTCTGTAATAACAATAATAATAAATAATTCAAATAAGATTAAATTAAACGTGTACTTAGATTAAATGATAATAATAAGAAAATAAGCTAAAATTAAATGTAAATTTAGATAAAGTGTATTATGTATAGTAATTATAATATATCGAAAGTTGATTTTATATTTATTTCAAAATTTTCAAAACAAAATATATAGTAATTACAGTAATTATAATATTTCGAAAGTTGATTTTATATTTATTTCAAAATTTTCAAATCAAAATATATACCACTGAAGTAATCACAGACCCTATTGTGTGAAAGTGCTTTAAACAGTAACTCAAGTCTAGAATAAAGCAAACAATAAAGTATTATTTTTATTATTAATATACTTAATATAATATAATTGTATTACTATATTCCATTTCACATTTACTTTATAGACAAGGTCACTCTTACCTTGGACTAAGACTATATTAATTTAAATATAATTTTTCATTATAAATCTCTTCCTGCATTCTTGCTAATTTTTATAATACTAACTTAAAAAACTAACTAATAATACTAACTAGTTTCTTAGTAATTTAACTATGGACGTCTGGAAGCATTTTTTATATCTTCACATTATAGCTGTAATTCCTCTTCATATACCACTCTTTATATCCATTTAGCTATTTTTGATGATAAATGTATATATCCGATATATCCGCTACTTTTCTGGCTTGACTTAATTTGCTTAATATTAAGCATATTTATGTATTTTTATCATACTCTTCACTTAATCTACTTTTGTTTCTAATTAAATTGCTTTCTCTGTTAACTCCTTTCAAGGTGGTTTTATTGGGTTTCGTCTCTCACCAAGTTTTTCGATATTTTACGCATTTTTAAAAAAATCTACAATTTCGGATTTATGCTAAATCTTGAGGAAGTGTGTCATATAATTTGTTTATAAACAAAATGACGAAATTCACTGTAATTACCAGATTTTGATTTTGGAGGTATTGTAGTATGTGTCACATAACGTCATAATGACATAATGACATAATTTCACAAGAAATCTAAATTAGTTTAAAATTAAAAATATATACTTTTTAGTATGTATATAATTTATATTGAATTAAAGATTTTTTTTAAGTTCAAGAAAATTGAAGACCATCTTGTTATTTTCTTCTGCATCTGTTATAAAAATGAGGTAATCCGGTTGACTAAATGAACTCATTAAACTCATTTCAAGTTTAAGTTGCAACTTTGATAATTGAACTTATTAAAAAGTAATTAAATCTACTTGTGGACTACTCGGAACGTATTGTGTCTTTCTACCGGTGGCACATTGATCTTTTCGGTATTCACGAGTTCACAACTCTAATTGAACGAGGTACAGTGACCTTGTATTTTTCTTTTTTTTATTTATTTTATCTTTTTTTTCTTTGTTTACATTTAGTTTTTATACTACGAATTTGGTTTTTTGTCGGCTCATGCCTCTACCACCGCCTCCTCATTAATTATAAACAAAATATTTGAAATGACTAAATGCTTTCTGATAAAAAACCAAAAAATGCCAATTGAATGATTATTGTTTACTTTTGCCAAAAAAAAATCAGAGCGGATCGCTCGCTTCTGAGAAAAAGTCGTCTTTTCATGTGGTATGGAAAAACATTTACAAAATTGAGGTTTCTAGTTTTTGGCCATTAAATATTGGCGAACTGTTTATTTTTATTGGCAAGAAAATTAAAACATTCTTAAAAAATCCGCAAAAATAAATATCTTGTTTTTACGCTATGTGTTTAATGTATTCTTTTTTATTTATACAATATTATTAGTTAATTATGGGTTTTAAAGCCGTTTCCATACGCGCGTTTCCAAGCAGACCCCAGACACAGCGGGTCTGTATAAAGATAAATTTTTAAAATATTTCATTTCAATTCAATGTTGATTTATGTTAGTTTATTGAGAAAATAATGTTATTTTTTATTTATATTAAAAGCGTGTACGGTTTTCTGTAAATATATTTAAATGATTTTTAAATGAAGGCAAGATTGGGAATTACTTCTCTGTAGATTCAACTATAGTGCAAAGATAATAATTAATAGGGAGTGTAGATATGATATAATTTCAAATAAACTAGCTTTTGTCATTGGGAAGAACACTATTTTGGGGAACATATAACACAGTGCAAAGAAGGGGAAGCCTTTTCAAATTTGAAAAGCACGATCTTAATTGTAGAATAGATGGACAGAAGTCTAAAAAATATATTTAATATCAGGACTAAAAATAACTATATACTTGTACAAAAGACCCTAAGCAAGTAACAGAAGAAGCACGTACAAGGAAAGTGGGGTAACAAAATTTAAGAAAAATATAAATATCTACTAACACTACTAAAAAATGATAGATTACTTCAAAAGTATTTGATTGGGCAACAAAATTTAACAGATCGAGAGTAAATCTGGATTGAATCCAGATTAACTAATCGAAAACGCCATAAGCGAACTCAACTAAATGGGTGTTCGTGCTCACATAGCCAATATATCAGGTTAAGAAAAATGCATTTTTATTTTTTTTTCCTATTTTATTATAATTAATTACAAATATATAAAATCTTATAACTATGATAAGAAAAACGAGCGCTAGCTCGCATTTCTAAAATAAAAACTAGTCTACTAAAGACTGTAATACTTAGAAAGAAAAAAATCATTGACTGATTTCCAGAGGAGAAAATCATAAAATATGTTTATAACATACTTACTATTAATTCAAAATATGTAAATACCAGACAGAGATATTCATAAATCAAACCAGATCTTGTGTACTAAAAACCACGATAAATCTAAACAGTAGACATAATGCTTGTCTAATAAAGGTCAGAAGATCAAAAAAGTTTTTATTTGCAACGGATTAAAATATCTCACCACAATATTTATTATATACTCCAAAATAGTTTCCATCGTTCCCATCCTTTCAAACTTTATGCTTGAAGTATTTACAAATATTATCCCTCTGCTCCTAATAAAAAAATATATATTCGGAATCTTCATTACTAGATATAAAGTACTTATACGTGTTAAGTTTTTGGAAATAATTCAAGTTTGAAAATACGTTATAATTTGACAATTTAATAAATTTTTGTTATAGAACGTTTTGTTAGATCAATATTTGATAAGTATTGTTTTTTGCTCATACTATACATTGAAGGTATTAAATATCATTATAAGATAAAGAACTATAACTAGACTAATACATATATAATATATATATTTAAGAAACCATTTTCTCTTTATATGTCTTTTCACCTTTATTTGAAGAATATTTCCTAAAACGAATGATAAATCTACTTATATTACTTCAAATAATTGGGTAGTTCTAGTTATTTATTCCGCAATAAAAGCTATTAATAATAAATAATCGAGTTTAATGCAAAATTATAACTATAGAGTTTTTTTGATGTCTCATTCAAGACTGTTTTGAATCAAAGCTCTCAGATACACTACCTAATGTGTTGTTTAATAAAAATGACTGAAATCAATCTCCTCCTTAAATTAATGTAATGACCAAAACCAACACGGCATTAAATTTACGGAAGTTTTGGAATGTGACAGTGAAAAAATATTCTCACCTGTAGAATAATTATATTTTAGAATGCTATCGACATAATTCGTAATAGAATAAACCAGCTGTCTTGCCTATACAATCAATGGAAGTCTGCTTTTTGGGGAGTAAGATCTGTATAATATCAAAACTTTCAACAAAACACTGTATATGTAGGTAAATTGTGGAAGTTCGATATCGTTGTTTCGACAGCAATATTTTTTATTTTTTTTTGCCATCTATAAACCAGCTGTCTGGCCTATACAATCAATGGAAGTCTGCTTTTTGGGGAGTAAGATCTGTATAATATCAAAACTTTCAACAAAACACTGTATATGTAGGTAAATTGTGGAAGTTCGATATCGTTGTTTCGACAGCAATATTTTTTATTTTTTTTTGCCATCTATAAACCAGCTGTCTGGCCTATACAATCAATGGAAGTCTGCTTTTTGGGGAGTAAGATCTGTATAATATCAAAACTTTCAACAAAACACTGTATATGTAGGTAAATTGTGGAAGTTCGATATCGTTGTTTCGACAGCAATATTTTTTATTCTTTTTTGCCATCTACTCTATATATAAAAAATATATAAACAAATAGGTTCTTTTCTATTTTCTAAAAGCCTTTAAAGCCTATATAATAGTATTTAATAGTAAGTATAGTCAGAGAATTATTTTATCAGGAATTCATATACTATGAATCATATCAAATGAATTTATAACCAGAAAATGCAATAAATCTCGTGCTGACAAATATAAATATATTAGAAATCTTGTTAATATGCAAAGCATTAAAAGATTCCATATAAGAATTCAAGCCACTGAAACCATTATCCAGGAATGAGTTATAAAAAGATTCCAGGTGTATGTAACACCAAATGCAAATATTTCTTTCCGAAAGTGGTCGATATACTTAATACTCAACACAGTGAATTTTTATTAGTCCGACAATACTTTAATATTGATCATTATAAAAAAGAAAATATTTGAAATCATCACTAAGAGCCCTGTCATTCCCTATAAGTGTTAATCTTCAATCATAAATTTAAGTATTTTCTTACTAATCTTAATCAAATACTATTATTTTCATTCTTAGCATTTGTTTTATTGTTTCACTTTAAGAAATACTTCGATCTGTTCTCTATTCGATTTTTAACCACAAAAATTGATATCGTACTTAAATGACAACCATACTTAATAAATGAATGTGGTTTGCATGTGAAAACAAACATTTAGAGGCAACCACAGAGGCGGCCGCAAAAATTTAATTCATTCATTTTATATAACTGTAGATGCCGTTGTGGTTACCCTTTTCGATTGGCATCAACTTGTTAAAATTAAAAAATACTTTTGATATAATAGTGTGTTCACCACTTATATGATCACAAGATATATATTCTATATAAAGATCAGTATCGCATTGATATTTTTGTAAATGCAACTCTGTACGAGAATCACTGAATATCTACTTAGAATTATTTTTAATTTTAAGTGATCGTTGTTAAATGCTGTAACTGTTTTTGGAATTAAAATTAATAAATACAATAAAATGGAAGCTGTTGGACGTAAACGTATACGCTCTGATGAGTCTCCATTTGTATTGCAAAGTAAAATGTTTATTAACGAAAAGGTATTGGATAATAACAGCAGCGAGAGAATGAAGGATATACACAGTAAATATTACAACTAAATAAAACATATAAATAATATAATAAAAATAACTATTATTTTCCTTATCCATAACAAATAGATAAAACAATAAATATGCTGTTTAAAGCTGCTCGTGAATTTAATTCAAATAGTCTTAATAATAACATTAAACAACCGCCAATACCATTATGGAAACAAATATCCTTATCGGGAGATGGTCGTATCGAATTTCGAAATGAAGTAGATCCCGTGGATTTGCCAAAACATAAAAAACGAGCTACATGCTGCGATCGAGAAACTTTAATACAAGAAACTTGTTGCAATTGTAGTACTCTCACCCTCTGTGAGGAGTGTGGTTACTCCTGCGTAGAATGTGACAAATTTTTATGCAGGAGTTGTGTTTGTCTTTTGTAAGTATAATAATATTCTTTATAATGATTATGTATAATTTAGAATTTTTTTTTTCATTTTAGTGGGTGTGGCGATATTGAGAGACCAATTTGTGAAAAATGCGCAATTTTTGATTAACAATTTTAGTCCATCATTGGACATAGGAATGATAATAAAAAAGGGTATTTAAACTGAATACCAAGTTGCCAATTTCAGTAAAAATATCTACTCCTAATGATAAATTTATGTTACACTAGTTAGTAAATATATGTATATTTTGAAAAATTTTATAAAATGCTATAAATTATTTTTAAGATTGGAAAAATAAATGAAAATAAAAAATTATTTACAAAATAGATTATAATTTTGAATAAATATTATTTCAAAAATGTGTTTGGATTTTCTATATAAGTTGTAAGATAAGAATAATTCTTGTTTGGTTTTAAATTAAATCATCAGACCATATAGTTAGAGAAGGAGAAAAAATAATAAACCGACAAGTTAACAATATAACGCTATAGAGGCATATATTCTTTTCTTTTCAATGTTGTTGTTGTAACCCGCTAGAGTCTGCTTCTAAAATACTTTTGAGGAGTGGTGAACGGAACTTGATCGTCGTGACTCACATGTTGCTCCGTTACGTAGACTCAACCGTTCTTGAAACCCTCATTTTCAATAGTTTCCGTAGAATAAGTGAAAAGAAATTAATTGTTCTAAATTAGTTGGAAAATGTTTCTAAACATTTCCTGATTCCTGATAACTTTTCATAGATGACTGGGTATTTTATAACCAACTTAGTCATATATACATCAAATTTAAAACGGAGTACTTTGTTGTGATTAGTTAAATAAGTCACCAACGGGTAAGGTGAGTGGCGATTATCCGTTCCTGCTGGAAAATAACTCCGGAACACAGGTTCGGTTATTTCTGAAACCTTCGATAAATTAAGCTCTGTATTCGATTTTTAAGTCCCACAGGCTTGGAGTATAAATCTATTTTTTTATTTACTGCAGTTTATGCATTTTTTTTAATTAATTATTTAATTGAGTTAATATTCATTCAAAAACATATTTACAAATAAACTGAATAAAAACAATTTACTATTATTTTCAAAAAATTTATTAATATTACTTATACCTATTTTTTATATAATAATTACATTATATACAAACATAATATATTATACTTTGCCCTTAAACTTATGATACTTTTTATGATCAGTGACCAGTTTTTCATATACTTGTCGTGCAGCTTCATTCGAGCAACGCAGTATGAAACGTCCAACGCGATGATCACAAATTCCAATAAGATCAAAACAAATTTTGTCAATATGTGTTTTAATCTAAAATCATCATTAAAATAAGTTTAATTAATAAGCTTATATGAATATAATTACATTTATATAAAATACAGACCTTAGGATATAAAGTTGTGGCTGGTTTATTTGCGACCATAAGACTTATCACAAAGGTGAGTACAAAAGGTGCTACACGTTTTATGTGTTCACCGTGAGTAGCTATTATATTCATCAGAATTTCCAGTTTTAAAGCTAATTCGGCTAATTGATCCAATTCTTCTGAACTTAGTGTAGAATTCTTTTGACGTTCACTCTTGTACCATACAATCGATTGTACTAAGTCTTTAAATATATACATAAATTGCGGCACCCGATCTAATAGTAACATATGTCGATGTTTTATAAGAGAAGTACACAATTCCAACATAGACATGTGTAGATTATTGAAAGTATCAACATTTGTATCGGTTATTTGGAAATTTTTTATGTTTATATTCATTAAAAAGCTAAGTATGTTATCGAGCGTATCGAGAGACAACGGCACCTACAAGAATTGTGTAATAAATGTTTAAATTAATAAATAAATAAATTTAAATTAATATAGTGGACATACCATTTTATTATCGGTAACTGCTTTTTGACTTGCTAATAGTTTTGAAACTACTTCCATGTTACTAAATTGTTGTTGTTCATTTTTAGTTAGCTGTGATATAATATCACAAGAAATTTGTTTGAATTGCTCATTGAAAATCTAATTAAAAAAAGAAACGTTTATTAGTATAAATAATAAATTAAGTATGTTTAGATCGAACTCAGTATCACGTAAACTTTTACGTATTTACTCTTATATATATTACGTAGATATAAAATAAGATATTATTCTATTTTATTTATTATAAGTTTAAATAATTATTACTTTATATATATATATATATATATATATCATAATATATAATAAATATATTATTTTATTTTTACTTATTTATTTTATATTTATTATTTTTTATTTATTTATATTATCTAATTTACTTATTTTTTTTATTTATTATGAGTTTAAATAACTTTTACGTATATATTTTTATTTATATTACTTATATATAATAATAAATATATTATTTTATTTTTATTTATTTATCACGAGTTTAAATAATTTTTGCGTATATCATTTTATTTATATTAAGTATATATAATAATAAATATAATATTTTAACTTTTACGCATATATTCTTCTGTATATTACGTATATATATAATATGTTAAATATATTATTTTATTTTTATTTATTTATTATGAGTTTAAATAACTTTTACGTATATATTTTTATTTATATTAGGTATATATAGTAATAAATATATTAATTTATTTTTATTTAATTATTATAAGTTTAAATAACGTTTACGTATGTATTCTTATATATATTACGTATCTTTATATATAATAAATATTTTATTATATTTTTATTTATTGATTATGAGTTTAAATAACTTTTAAGTATATATTTTTATTTATATTAGGTACATATAATAATAAAATGTTATCTAATTTTTTTTTAGTAATTATAAGTTTAAATAAATTTTTCCTTTATATTTTTATATATATTATATATACGTATATTAATAAATATATTATTTTATTTTTATTTATTTATTATGAGTTTTAATAGGTTTTTTGTATAATTTATTTACCACATACAAAGTTCGATTTGATTACTCTCATGATATATATTAATGATACTTACAGCTCCTTTAATTGTACTGAATGGAGCTTTTGCTATAAATGTTAGCAATGTTAAAATGTTGTCCAAATTTTGGGTTTCACACACTTTGCTGCTTATATCCGTTAAGGTAAATAAAAAATCTTCATTTGTTTTATTGCCAATAATGGTTTTTATAACAGTTTCCGTAGTTTTCGGTATCAAAGTTGGACTCATTTCTAGATCTGCATGAAGCTGTTGCCAATAATTAGTTAATACGAATTCGATTTCCTCTTGATCTAAATGCAACTGCTTACGATGATTCAAAGCCACTTGTACTAACCGAATAGCATGAGAATTACGATAATCCATCTATATTGAAATAAAATTTGTTAAATTAGTTTTTGAAGTAAAATATATGTGTTTATGCCAGAAAAGTGAAACATACCGAGTATCCAATATATATTTTACATATACGCCTAAAACTTTCATCGATATTTTGCTCAACTGTCGTTTCAGTCTCTTCAGTTTTATTAGCAGTTTTTGAGAGCACAGAATTTGCATAATTTGCAAATCCAGCTAAAGTTTTTTCAACGAATTTTTTGCTGTTCTTTGTATCTTCATTTTCACTGAAATGTCTTTTAACGAGTGCATCATATATTTCCAAGAAGTTTTCTAAATGTTTACGCATTCTTTTTGCTGTTGGCCCTTTTATATTGATTAGGGTGCTCATGGCTAATAAAAGTAAACGGAGCGGATCATCTTTTAATTTACCCTCCTTTTCAATTGTTTTCAATATATCATACAAGGAGGTAAGAAATATCTCACTACCTTTCTCATCTTTTTCTATGGTAGCAAATAGTAATTCATAAAATTGCCAACAATTTGAAGGAGGCAAGAGCCTTAATAGTGTTTCTGCAGAGAGGTGCTTGAGTATTGCTACTTGCGGTCCAAAATGTAGTAAATCTAAAAAAAGAAATCAATTATTTTAATATATTATAATTGCAAATTATTACTGAAAAATACCTGTAATAATTTCAAATGCTTTGTTAGCTAAATCATCTGCCTCAGCAGCTATGAGATCTCTATAAAGTGCCAACTGCAAAGCAAAAAGTAAATTTTTCGTCTGCCTATGCAAGTAACTAATGGGCAACTTTTGCAGGTAGTGTAGTATCTTATCTACTTCGGTGTGTGGTAATGCTTTTATACTGGAGACATCTGTGCATGAATTTATTTCTTTAAATATTTTTTTAACATGTTTATCGACAAAATTTGCTACAGTATTTGCACGAAGTTCCACATAATCACATTTAATGCTAACCAAAAGTGAATCTTTATTATTCTCTATAAGTGCATTACTTAAATCCTCAAATAAGTCGAGTACAATTAATTCTATGGATTCTAAATCATCTGTAAAGACTTCAAGTAGATTCGGTTTTATCAGCACTTGTTTGCAAATCTCAATTTTTTCTTCTCTTGCCAAATTAGACACAATCCATTTAGCTTGTGGTGTTTGTAGCAGCAATTCCAATTGCTCTGAGTCGTTACTAATAGTAGATAGTAGGGACTTTTGTAGACTAAATTTTGCTGCGCTACTTTGCTGCTCTTGCAGTAATATTTGCGCTTGCATACGCTGTACGTTTAAACGGTTCAATAGGAATTTGCAGCTTGACTTGCCGAAATTAAGTACTCTTTGTTCTATCAATGTCCATTCTTCACTTGTTAGATGTCCACAAAAATTGTGTATAAAAGTAGTTGTTTTCAATGTTTCATGCTCCAATCCATCGGGCCGGTAATAAACAAGTATAAGTTCAAAATAATTGTTGTAATAACAACATTCCAAAAAAGCATTTATAGTGCGTTTGTTATGTACATGAGATAAAATAAATCTTCCAAATGTGCCAAGCACTTCAGCTGTCATTTCTCTTTGACTAACAATTTCTTTTATAAATTTATCAGATTGTTCAGTCAGCTTAGAGCCAGCAAAATATTGACATAGTAAAGCTGCAGTAAAGTCCAATTCGAATATAGCATTTTCATCAAGCTCTTCCATATCATTCATATTACTGATCACATCTTTTAGCGCATATAATAAAGATTTCCATATGACGAGTGATGGTTTCGACACTAAACCGGTTATGAATCTTGAAAATGATAAACCCGCACTTTCGCTAGGCCACGACGATTTTAACTGTGGAAAATTTTTTAATTTTGTCACAGTTAATGTAGAATTTGTAGTATTTTCGTTATTTTTAATAAATTTACTAAATAATATTTGTAAGAAATAATTATTTACATCTGTTAGTTTATTTTCAACAGTAGACTCATCTAATTTTGGTTTTTTCGCAGGAGTCGCAGTGCTTTGTTTCCGTTTCCTTTTTGAACCTTCCGTTATTCCGGACAATTGGTACTCACTCAAGTACTGCTTAAGAGCTTTTGTTAAATTTACAACAAATTTTTCAGCTCGACTTAAACGTCGAAACATATCAATAGTTAAAATTAGAAATTCTTCAAATAATCTTTCTTCATCACCACCAGCTACTTTATCTGCAGTCACTAACCAAGCTGTTATAATAAAAATATGCTGTTCCAGTATCAATGGATTTAAACGTAACGCTGCACACAGAAGTAATAGTGTCTCTTGTAAATGTTGACTTCTATATTCTTGTACATAAGAAAATATACGTTTACCAAGCAACACCAAAGCTGTTTCCTTCTCAGTTACTTTCAAATTTAAATTAACTTCATGCTTCCGAAATACTTCTAAAGTGTACGCAGCTACAGTGAGTGTTAATGCTGGATCTATGCCCACAATCTCAGCTTTGAAGATTTCCATCAATACCGATTTTAAGAAATGCTCAGCATTGCGAAAATTAACCACAACACATTCAATTACCAATAGTCGCACATGTAATGGCAATGCGAAAATTCGTTTTATTATAAAACCTTCCTTATAGCCTTCACAAATTTGACGTTCAAGTATCGCAAGTTCGTCAAAGAAGCATAAGGAGTTATTTTCCAATATGAGGATCACTTCGGTTAATGGTTGCAAAATATATTTGCAGTAGGAAGTATCTAATCTGTGTGTATTGCTAGCTTTCTTAGCGTTATCCTTTAGACTATTCAGTACAGCTACAAAGAAATTAGTTTCATGTGTCGCCAGCAGTTTGTTATGTTCATTAATATAGCTTAATAAATATTTTTGATAATGTTGAAATAATTGCGCATATATGTATGCTAACATATCGTAATCTGCACGCAAAACATCTTGGAAAGGTTCAAATTCTATTAAACTTTGTAATGTTTCAGGTATGGTGCGTTGCAATTTCTTGCCGGATTTCGAATTCTCTAGCAGCTTTAGAAAACTATTAATGAAATTACTTTTTATTTGTTGGCTTATTAAGCCGGGTTGTGCACGTAGTTTAAAAAGCTGTTTGATTTCATTGAATGGATATTCTTTTAGTTTAATAGACTGATCATTAAGCTTTTCAGTTAACCAAGTTATAATTACTTCATATTTGCTAGAAAGTGTAAAATCTGCAGATAGCCATGCTTTATTTGCAAACTCTATACTTTCCAAAAATGTTTTTTCAGGCCGCTGAAGCCACTGTTTAAATTCTGGAAAAAAAAACGTTTTTCAAAAATCATAATCCGTGGTAGTATTAAAAAAACATACCTAATTCTGTTGACATTTTATAAAAACAAAGCTTATAACATAAAATGCAATCCAATCACTTTTGTAAACAAACTACACGTGCGTAACTACTTGTGAACCGACAGGTTTGCTATTTTATGCAGGGTTGTTATTTTACACTGCCTGTGTACTTACAAGCAGTGCTCGCAGCGTTATTTAATTCCTTTGAGTATTTTCTTTATGATTTATAAATATGAATTACCACCAAGTTAAAACTATGAACAATCCAACATATTGAATTATTTAACAGTATTCAAATAATATCTGTGGTTTAGATCGAAACATGACAATATTAATATATATAGCACTGCAGCTAAAACTACTTATGTTTAGTGATATAATGACATGTTTTCATTTCTGACTTAATAAGTGTAATACTGAATTCACACTAGAGTTTTGTATATAATTTTAATTGTCAAACATTTTCATTTTGCATTGAAAGCAACAACAATTAATAGCTAAAATTATAAACATGACAGCTAAAATTAATTATATATTTGAATTGACTATATATTTGAATTGATTATATATTTGATATTTTGTGCGATATACTATTCATCATCATTCGTAACTATACAGTCCATGTAGGACCTAAGTCTGTTTAACAACATCCTTTCATTCTTCTCTGTTTTTTGCTTTTATTTTTCAATTTCTTATGTTTATTTCTTCTAAGTCCTGCTGCACACTATCTTTCCATCGTTTTCTTGGCCGCCCTCTTTTTCTGCTGGTTCCTACTTCGTTCTCATAAATCTTATGCGGTACTCTCATATCCGACATTCTTAAAACATGTTCAACCCTAATCGCTACTCTTTCATAAATTTGTTGATTGTATCAACATTAACTAGCCGTTCTAGCTCGTGGTTGTATCTTATGCGATACATCCCGTTTTCTTTTACGTGATGAAAATTTTTTTTTGCTTGTTATCTGTAAGCAAGATAGCAAACATTGCTATCATTGCCATTAAATGAGCAGATTTATTGATAATGAGCTCATATATGTGAAAGATTTGTGTATAGTAAAACGTCTAAACAGCGATGTGACAAGGGCTTGAAAGAATTTTTTCATATATTGCAGGAATACTAATATATCATAATTGTACCAAATATTTTATAAATAACTTAGGTAATCCCAATGATTACTTCTAAAATAATTCTTTAAACATTTAGTAATTATGACTGCTTTATATATCGCTAAACTCATAGTGTAAATGTCATACAGTGTTATACGGCATTTATACTGGCTGAAAATGGCTCATTTTGGTCAAAAATCGAAAATGGGAAGCAAATGGCTCATTCTTGCATACAGAATTTCAAGCGCGAATGAGTCATTTTCATCAAATTCTGTATGAATGCGTCCCAACAACGTTCGCATGCGTTCCAAATATGTTCCAAATGCAAAGGAATACATTGAACATACCCTAAATAAAAGTTTTTCAGTGCAATTTGACAGTTTGAGAAAGCTGTTTTTGACATTTTTGACAAAAAAAGGTAAACAAATGTTTGATGGTTGCATTTTCTTAAAAACGATGCCCCTCTTATTAGAACTTCTACTTCCCAAAAAGTGTTTATTCGAAGTTAAAAATATTTTTTAAGTTTATCTTGTAATATACTTTCAAGTATATTTAACCTTCAAGCAACATTTTTTTGGCACAGGTCAAAAATCAAATCAACAAGCAAGTTAAAAAATCAGCTGTTTGAAATGAGAACGAATGAAATACAACGAATGAAAACATTTTCAAAATGAGCTATTTTCGGGCAATGTAAACGCCTTACTAAACGTCAATAGAATTTGTTATTTAATATGCTTTTAAAATACAACCGTGCTGCTTTACAATACAATACGACGCGCTGCTTTAGAACTTAAAGTACCGCAGTTTGATAAAGTGTTTGTTAAATTGTTTAAACATTTTTATTATTTAAAGAGTATTAAGTCACCATGGTTGACAAAGATGTGGCAGATATATTTGAGAAATGGAATCCGATGAAAGCAGTGTACCAAAACGTGTCTCTTAATAAATATAATACTGGACCTGGTGCCGCTTTAGAACCGGGTACTGCTTTTAAAAAGCATCTCGATAGAGAACAAGTTCCGTACTTGTATATCAAGAATGTTCCGGAACACTTAGAAGAGGAGGGCTTATACAATTTATGCAGTCAATATGGACATATTGTTGGAATTCGTAAAAGAGACAAATCTTATTTTATGGATCTGGCTAATTTGGGGTAAATTATAAATAAAATTTGTGGTTTGAAATAATTAATCTTACAAATTTTATTTAAATAGTGATATGGACGCAATATATCATGTCCTCAAAAAGAAGATTAAGGGGATAACTGTAGAAATTGGTAAAAATTGCAAGAGACAAAGTCAACCAAATGAACAAATTCAGCAACAAAATGACCAAACCGAAATGGAAAATTTTGATAATGACAATTCTGAAATCGAGCCAATAACTGCTCCACCAAATGAGAAGAGGTAATTATTTTAAAATATTATCTATTAAAAAATGAATTAAGAAATTTATTTCCATTTTTCTAGAATTTTAGATGGAATACCTACTAAAAATCATGCGCCACCTTTCTTCCATGATACGCCTTTTATTACAACAAACGATTATGATTCAAAAGATAATTTTCTTGCTAAAGTAGATCCAAAGAAACAATATGTGAATGTGGAAGATACTTATAGTTTGGAGCGTCTTGGACATATAGAAAAAACAGAATTTTTGAATAATTCAAATTATGAATTCGCTACTGGTAGAGCTTACATAAAGTAAGTAACTAACTAACTATGTAACATAAATATTCAAGCTCTTAACTAAAAGGAGTATTAAGGCTATCTAAAATAAAACTAAGTCTATATTTATACATATTCATCATTTATATCTTAATAAGATAATAAGATAAGATTTTTGAAAATCCTCCAAATTAAATTTTTGGTTAAGGGCCTGTACATTTTATTTAAAAAATTTTTATAAAATAATTATTCGACATATTTATAGAATCGATGACGCAACTAAACAGCTAATGTCTGCAAAAGCAGTAAACACAAATAATGATGATATAAGCGAATTACATATTGGGAAATGCGACAATTGCAGTTTACTTTGCAGTCACATTTGCAACGATTGTGAAACCTTCTATTGTAGTAAACAATGTCAAATAAAAAAATGGAAAACTCATCGTTATGTTTGCGGAAAGCCAAAGTATTGTTATTAATTAAAAAAAAAATTTTTTTATAATAATTAATATTTTAGACATATGCAAAGAACGGAATTATCGGACTCTGAAAATAGCCTATCAAGTTCAACATTAAGTGTAGTACGTGATCATATGCCACAAAGTGGTGATGTTGTTATGATTACTAGTATATCAAAGAGTAATCTTGTATTTGTACGTTCCGCACATGCTGAAGAATATTTGAGTTTCTTTAAGATAATGCAAAAGGTTTACTCAGCGGGTGCTAATGGAAAACAGTTAACAGATATTCCTAAATTAGGACAAGTTGTTATCACAAAATCTAAGGATCAATACAATCGAGCAATGGTACTCAATATTGATGATCCAAACTCTATTAAGGTTGTTTATATAGATTTTGGTAATGTTGAATATAAGCAATTATCAGAATTATATCTTGCCACAAATGAACTTATAAGTGAGCCACGATTCGCAAATCCAGTACTACTTAAAGGTGTACCATACCGTTATATGACCACAAAAATACGTGATTATATGTTTTCTTGGTTAAATATGGACGCTATCATAATTTACAATCCTGTTGACGAAGAAAATGGTGTCCAAAGTGTGGAACTTAAACATTTTGTTTCTAATAAAACCCTAAACAGCGCTGTTATAAGCCTTTGTTTATCGAATGAAAGGCCAAAAGATGAAGTGTTATTTATAAATGTTAGTAAATTGTTGCTATATATTTGTGTATTTTATTAAAACTTCTTTTTTTCAGTTCTTAGAACATATAAAATTGCCGACTGGTAATAATATTGAAGTAGTTATTATGGATAATTCATTTTTAATTACGGGAATTGTGAGTTGTACTACAAGGGCATATGCTATTGAAATAACTAAATTCCAGAAAGAGCTTCAAACGTTTGGTGAATCATCAAAAGAAATGCTTTATGCTCCACGGTAAATTTAATATATTTCTTAAAATATTTTTATTAATAAATAAGGTATATTTTTATTAATAAATAAGGTATACTTTTATTAATTACAAGACCTCCCACCAAACAGCATTCTAAGCTTCGTCAAAGGTTTTAGGTGGTTTTAAATCCTGATTTTCTTCTATATACGGTAACACAATTGGCCAATAGGCCCATGTGGATCTCCTAGGTATCGCCGGTATTACCTAACCTAACCTAAGATATATTTTAAAAGTTTCGACTTCGCACATACATATATTATAGTGCAATTAAATTGCTGTACGTATATTGACTGTATTATGATTTGCATTAAATATACTTTTAGAACATTTTAAATATATAATATATATGTATTAGCTATATATGCATAAGATTTTAGTGAAATATTTCAATAAATAATTTCTTAATCTTATTTACAGTGTCAATGAGTTGTGTTTAGCTCGTTATGGTAAGGACAATTCAAAAAAATGGTTTAGAGGGTTTTGTGTTGAAATCGTTGGTGATGGTAAACCATGTATTCTATTTATGGATTATGGTTTTTCTGCTAACATCAATATCGAGGATATACGTCCTTACCCGAATCAGTATACTTTTCCAAAATTAACATCGGAATGTGATATTAAAGGTTTGTTGCTTATAAGTCAATGTTAAAATGAAACACATAATTAATAATGAACAACTTTATAGGTCTACCTCAGATCTTGGAGAATATGGAATCCAAAGAAAAACGGGAAAATCTAATTGCAACACTTGAGACACTGTTACCAGTAGGATCTGTAATTAAGTGTGACCATATAGAATATAATGAAAAACTTAATTTTTGTGAATTAACACTACATAAGATAAAACAACAACTTGAAATGGACGGTTTGTTGAAAGAAGCTTAAAATGTGCTTTTTAAATTCAATATTTAAATAATCTTGACAATTGAATTAGTTTGTAAGTAATACACCAAAATAATCTCAACAATTGAATTACTTTAAGTATTAAGTTAAATATTAAAAATATGCATCTTTTAAAATTGTTTAAAACAAGTTTAGACTGGTGTTCTTAAATGTCAGTTCTATAAAATAAAATACAATGAACATTAAATGTCAATGTTTTTAGTATCTAAATTATTTAAATTAGAATTATAAATAGAATTAACAATACTTCAAGTGTGAACACACAAGTCAAGTACAGCTTTGGGTTAGAACACTGACTCTAAGCTTCAAATTTGGCAGAGCACGAGTTCAACTCTTGATACTTGCAGTCTAAAAAATGATGATGGATATTTGGCAATACTCGAATCAGTTTTATGGTCAGCCAAAAATTTAATTAATTAAATTAATATCAAAATAATTAAAGAGCTCCCGCACATATAACTCAACTCATATGAAAATTATTAGAAATATTACAAAACATTACTGTAAACTTATTTTATACTAAACGAAAGACTTAAGAACTCATATTTTAATTGTGTCTAATACTATTTGACTGTTTTCATATTGTTTTAGTTAAAAAGTTAACAAAAATGTATCAAAAAGAAAACGTATATTAAAATAACAAAACTTCATCAATTAACATTGATAATCACTTCAGATTTCTGTAGTGGATTGCTACAAAAATGAGTTAAAGTCAAATCCTAAATTAAGTAATATAATAAAAAAATTAACACAGATTTATAAATTATTAAAAATTTTATCTTCTTTTGTTTTTACAAATTTGTACATATTTTTTATAAACTTAACGACACCAATTTCCACTAAAATTACGATAAATATTTTAAACAACAGACTTTAATTCAAATGTTTGCTTTTCTATAAGTTCCTTGAAAGTGCCCTTCTCTGATATCATTAATTGTCCATAATCGCCTTCTTCACTAACGCTTCCATTATCTAAAACAACAATTTTGTGCGCGTTACGTATTGTGCTTAATCGATGAGCTATAGTAAGTACAGTAAGTCCTTTGGATATGTTCTCTAAGGACTTTTGTACTAATTCTTCTGATACAGAATCAAGTGCACTTGTTGCTTCATCAAGTATAAGAACAGATGGTTGCTGAATATAAGTGAAAAATAATGATTAAATATAATTAGCAATTTTGGTAGTTTAATAATATTTGTGAATTTACTTTAATTAAAGCTCTAGCGATGGCAACTCTTTGTTTTTGTCCACCAGATAATAATAAACCGCGTTGGCCAACTAAAGTATTAAGCCCATCGGGTAAATGTTGAGCAAATTCATGAACATATGATTTGCGTATAACATTCTGAAATAATTCTTCACTTACTACTGTGCCTGGAATAGCACCATATAGTATATTTTCTCTTATGGTGCCGGAGAATAAAACTGGTTCCTGTGTATATAGAGAATGATTTAAATATTTCTTTTAATTTAGATCGCACATCGTTTACCTGTTGTACAGCACTTATATGACTTCTCAACCAAATGGGGTTCACTTGTTTTATGTCTATACCATCTAAAAGTATACAACCACTTTGTGGATCGTATAAACGCAATAGTAAAGCTGCTATAGTAGATTTTCCAGAACCACTTCTTCCAACCACAGCCGTTGTTTGTCCAGGCCATAGCGTTAAATTTAAATTTTTCAGTACGGTACTATCTATTCGTTCAGGAAAAGTAAAACATACATTTTGAAAGTCTATTCTGCCTTCGACTCTTTGAATGGGCTCTAAGCCGGTATCAATAGGGATTGTGTGTTTACGATCAATTATTTCCCAAATACGTTGAGCAGCCCCTACACCTTTGTTCAGTTCAGTATAAAAATTAGAAAGTCCATTTATTGAAACTGCTGAATAACCCGCATATAATATAAATGATGTCAGTGCACCAACAGTAAGTGCATCTTGCATTACCAAGCTACCTCCATAGTAAAGGACAGAAATTATAATGGCATTTCCTGAGAAACCAGTCTGCATGCAATATATAAAAGTTTTAAAAGTTAGAAATAATAAAATATATATTAAAAGTTACGCTGCTTACCAAACCAAAGAAAATTGAACGTGCTTTGACTTCTTTATAGCCAATTTGAAGTGCATCTGTTAACTGTTCGTCAAAGAATTTACTTTCCTCATTTTCCTTACTAAATGTTTTTACTGTTTTAATATTACCAAAACGTTCTTCGGCAGATTTCATTATATCTGCAAATTTGTCTAGCAAGTTTTTCGTGATTGTGCGTACAAATCGTCCATAGATAATAGCCATGCCAGCCAAACATGGAACAACGGCGGTGCTTATAAGCGCAAGTTCTGGTGATGTGTAAATCTGAAAATTAAATTATTTTAATAATAATTTATTTTATTTAATTTGTTAGTCTCACCATCATGCCGGTTCCTGCAACAACCATCACTATAGAACGTAAACCATCTGACACATTTTGACTCAGTGCATTGCCTATAAAGAAGGCATCATTCGATAACCGATTAACTAGCTCTCCACTTCCTTTCGTGTCAAACCAAGATGACTCCTGATGTAACATGCGTCGATACAAAAGTGAACGTAAATTTTTAACAATGCGAAGAGCTATAAATATAAATTTTAGATATATATTTTTTGCGTGTGAATAGTAGTAATTTTAATTGCACTTACATGCAGCATTGAATAAGTAAACTCGTCCAAAATTAGCCAATCCGCCGACTATAAAAACACCTAATAATATTAACGAAAATTGTTTTAAACTTTCTAATGTTTTGCTAACGTTCTGTTCGTCTTTGTTGAAAATAATATCCATTATTTTACCAAGTGCAAATGGAACACACATGGTAATACCGGATGATATCACTAAACAGCCAATAGCAACTAGAATGTAAAATTTTGTTAAATAAAGCGTATTTAAAGTTTTGTATGTTAACAAACCTGTAAGAACTAATTTTTCAGATTTTGCTAAGCTTAATAATCTCATCACGTCTTGGCTTTTTAATTTAACCTTTGGTTGTGTCGTTTTAATTGTTGTACCTTGAAATCGTAAAGGTTGCAACGGGTGCCTCGTGCTTCGTAATAACAGGTGTCCATTTCTATTAGCGGTTAGAATACTTCTACTGAATGTGGTGGGTAATGTAGGAATTTTATTTAAATTTTTTGCAAGTAATACCGATCCATAACGGCTTAACGATTTACTAAATCCTAAAGCATATATTAACATTTTTATTAAAAGTGAACGACGCCGAAAATTTATTTATATAAAATATATTATATATGAAATAGAATTTCATTCATTAATTGTTATAAAACACTATTGCACATTTTGAGTAAAAACAACAATCATCAAAATACATGAACAGCTGATCACTTAAATATTAACAATTCATGTTTTTAACACAACTGTCAAATAAGAAAAATAGTTTAGTGTATGTTCAATTTTGTCAAAAGATACAGTGTTGCATTTCATTTGTTGCTTTTTCTTTATTGTATATATTTAGATTTGTTTAAATTTTTACTTCTTCTTCTTTGCATTGCTATATATAACTGTCAATCCATATTGAAATTATGTTAAGGATGATCACGTAGTTTAATAACTTGCTCTTTTTTTTCCTTCTTCAGTCACAAACGACAATAGGCTAGATGTGGATGTCGTGCTATGACAACAGATCGTTTGTTATTTAGTACCTATTTTGACTGTATATATTGAACCTATTCATATTTTTTTTATTAATATGATAAAAATTTTTCTTGGTGAATGTTTTATCATCTCTGTTAATTGTTAATTAATATTTGTTGTTTTTAATATTGCAAATAAAATCTAAAATTAAATTTGTAATGAAATCAATTGCTATTTTTTATTTTTCCTATTGATCTGTTCGCTTGCAGAAAAATTCAAGTAAGAAGTCTATTGAGATTTATTTTCTGTTTCTGTACCAAAATATTAATAAAGTAAAGGAGTTTGGCAGAGCGAAGTGTCATTTCATACTGTACAAAACGTATGTAATTATTAAATTTTTTCAGAAAATTTGAATTCACTTTAACAAGCATTTTTATTTTACTACTATTATATTATTTTATATATGTATAATAAAATTTACATAGATTTTGACTATTTTTTTTATTACTCGAACAGATCTAATATGCCTTCTTCAACACATTATTACAGTTATAACAGTATATAATAATGGCAAATGCAAAGCAAAATTGTGGAAGGATTACAATGACAACAATACGGAAAATGCACTAATATTCAATTATATTAAAAAAATAACAGTTTTACATTTAAACCTGAACGCATACATATTCATATTTGTAGCAAAATACTCAAGTCTTCTTTTTATAGTACAAATATGGAACTTTGATTTTGTATTGACAAAAAAAGTTATAAACAATATTTTAATAAAACTAATGAAGACAATTCATTGTTGTTGTTGCTTTTATTTTAACATAAAACAACAAAACATGTTCCAATCTCAATCTATTCTTGTTGGTTTTTACGTTTTTTATTTTTCTAACTGCATTTACCGTGATTGATCAGTTCGATTTCAGTTATAATGCAATCAGTGAGCTTGACGCATGGAATTTGTAAATTAAATTTAGTTTAAATGAATAGTTATTTTAAATATATTTTAGTGATATTAAATTTATTAAATTCGATGTGTATATAAGATTTGTATGTGAATTCAATATATAAAATAATTAAAAGTGTTTGTAATTCTGTAATATATTCATCTAAAAAAAGTGTTAATGCAAAAGTGGTGCATTTGAATTGAAAGTGCGAAATAATGGAGCATAAATGGAAGTTTTATTTAAATTACTATTAAAAAATTAAAATGTAATAAGAATTATATTAATATTTTTTAATAATAGTAAAAATATATAATAAAAATAAGTGATTAATAAATTAGTGGCAAAAAATGATTAAAAACTTCCAAATTAATGCAAGCATACAAACGCACGGTGGGAGCTCCCCTGGCCCCTGGCCTGGCCGAGCTCCCCCTGAACAATTTTGATCGTTCAAGAAGGGTGTGCGACAAAAAGGGGTGAGGTCGTTTCAAATAATGACAAAAATAACGTTTGATTTTAAAAGATTGTCTAAACAAAATAAGTGTCAAAATATTCGACTTAATAAATAAGTAAACAAAATATAGTAAATATAAATCCTATTCATGAATTATAAAGTTTGCATACTAAAGTTGGAGTAAATATCGGAAATTAGGTGAGTTATAAATTTGGTTCACTATATACATATATAACAATTTATATTTTAATGTGAATTTTCAATTACTTATATACTATTGTACACTTATGTATTATATATAATGTTTTTTAAAATTAAAAATGAACGAATTTATTTTGATATGTACGATTTCTCGTATATTTAATTATTAAATTTTTTTGCTCTTGCCCCTTTTCTTGATCTGGGATTGAAGAATATGAGTGAGTCATAGTCATGTATAGGTAACGGCAAAAAATCCACAATAAGGCTCACTTTACCTATATGGGCGTATACGGAGACTTACTTAAGTTGTAGTTTTTGAAAAATTTATATAAAAATATGCCATTGAAGGAATCCATTATATCTGAGGTAAAATGTTCCGAAATATTCCTTGCTACAAAGAATTAAAGAAAACTATTTTTTTTAATGCTTAATCAGAGGTGTCCAATGCGCGGCCCAAGTGCAATTTTGGCAAAATTATATTATTTCATTTTTATGATATTCCAAATAAATAAATTAAAACCTATAAAAATATAGGCCTTCACTGACTGAATATTTATTTACACATGCACTACTGCGTCTGGTAACAATTAATATTCATACAATTAATAGAATTATAAAAAATAAATTAATAAAGAATTTATAAAACTAAATATAAAATAACTGCCTTATTTTTATTTTTCTCAAAAAAAGAAAAAAAAATTATGAAGGGTATTTGTTTCTGCATCCCTCTAATCTCTAATCTCTTAAGTGATTTGTATTGGACCGCAATCGTATCTAGTCTGGACAGCCCTGTCTTAAATAAATTTAAAAATTAAACACACATATATTAGATTTTAATTTTTTTTTATTTTTTTTATAATAATTTATGTGCCTAAGTCAAGTTGTGTAGCGTTTAGTAAAGCTTCAAACATTACTATTCGCCAGCTAGAAATTGCACAAAGCAAGGCTCTGAGACGAGTTTTCAAAGTATCATGGTACATTAGGATGAATAACATTCTCAGGGACCTCAAGATTGATCCCATCAAAAAATATATAAAGGATAGACTCCTGAAATTTTTGCGAAAACTGACAGACTTACCAACACCGCGTTATCAAATCTCAGAATAGTTACAGGCTCTTTGGGGAGGTAACAGTGTTAAAAGTGGACGTGGTTGGGGTACCATTCAGTACAAGCTTTTTTCTGTCTTTTTCTTGGATCACCTTGAAGTCTTGTTTTTTATTTGTATAATTTTCTGCAATATAATATTTAAATTTAGTATAAATCTTATCAAATATCAAATAAGACAAGCGTGATATTTTTATCTAGTTACGATCTGCTATAATGGCGCTGGACTTCATATATTCTATGCTGGATTTCAGTTCGTTAATCATTATTTTGTTTAAAATCACTGCTTTCCTGATAGGTTATTTATTGTATCAATTTGATCCTTTTGATTGCATGACAAGAATACAAATACTTAGCAAAAATGGAATAAAAATAGAAGAATAGAAAATCATTTATGTCTTACCCAATTCAAGAAGAAAGTTATATTACAGAATATGTTGTTTTACAGATAAACAAAACCAAATGTCACAAACTCCAGTATGTTATCCCTCATATAACTAGAATAAGTAATTTTTGTAAATAAAAAATATACAATGGTAGATAAAATTTCATTACAGTCATTGCTACTCAATTATTTTTTAAGAGAAATACTTTTTTTTTCAGTTCAACAATAAATTAATTTCCATTTATAAATACGACTTACGGTTCACAACAACTAAATTAAAGCGTAGTTTTATTTTTCCAAGACACGGATTTAGAATTTTTAACAGAGCTTTAATCTGAAAGCTCTCGAGATAGTTTTATCCATTCCGAACATATAAGTAAATGTTGTAAGACAACCTTATCTGTACAGAAAATTTAATTCTAAGTTGTGACACAGGTTTATTTGTCCAGAAAACATTATCTAAAAAATAAAAATCTAAAATAGAAATATTTATACATAAACAGAAATTAAAAAGAGGTGCATCTCTTAACGGGATCAACGGAATAATCACCGGTACCTCTAAGAAGACGTTCATAGCAGCACCAAGGTGAGCTAGACTGTCTGCTTATTTATTCCCTTTAATGTTCGTATGACCACAAATCCATGCAATGGATGGTGGCCACAATAAGATTTAGGTCGCCTATTTCTGTACCGCATTCATTTATTAGTTTTGATTAAAACCTTAAAGATTGAAGTGCTTTAATGGCTGCCAGAGAGTAAATAGTGTGACTTCTTAATTGGTCGGTTTACCGTCAAATCAAATACACTATTTTGCAGCTTCAAAATTATGTTGACTATATATTCAAATTGATGAATTAAAAAAAAAAAAATTATTAATATGCAATAATGTCAAGAATATTTTGATGAACTGTTTTATTCGCTTTATTCTTATTATTGCACTTACTTTTAATTAATTGTCAATCCAACTCAGTTCCTAACACTCCAATCTCAGTCAGACTTTTCTAGTTTTATAATGTTGATTATATATATTATATTTTCAAAATGATTATGCCTAAGTTGTTGGTCAACAATTGTTATAAAATATCTCACAAAAAATTCATTAAAAGAATGTGTAGTGTTCATGCATGGCGGAATAATTTCCGAATTTTTTATATTTTTTTAAATTAATTATTTATGTTTTGAATGCTACACCTTTGAATACATTTTTCGAATACAATACTCTTTTCACAGTTACTTTTGAACGTTCATTTCTTTTAATGTGAACATATTGTTTGATAAATATTCACTAAGTGAAAAGTTAACCTCTCCAATGAATAAAATTCTCATAAACGATTTAGATTTCAAAATGGTAAACCTTAAACTTGTATTGACATATGCACAATTTCACACAATGTACAACATATATAATTATTTAAATATATTGGTTGATGTCATAAGTACCTATATTGCATAAATTTAGCAGAGCTCAATGTGGAGAAAAGAGGAATATAACGATATATAATAATACTTCTATCACATGTCGTTTTCGATTGGTAAATTTGAGGTAACTTTTTTAGTCCAGATTAATTTTTAGTACAAGCGAAATGTTAGAAACTCAAGATTAATTTCTAACACTCCAGTTATTTTCGGAAAGATTAGCCTGAAATGAACAGCTGTTTGTATATTTTAATCCCGGTGCAGACTATCATTTTTGAGTGTCATTAAAGGGACAAAATCTAAGAATGATAGTAATGAGTATAGAATAGTCTTTGATGGTAGCCTGCACCTTTGAAAGACATGCAACCAACATGTTGGCATGCTTACCAAAATTTATTCAAGATTTTGAGAAAGATTAGCCTGAAATAGACAGCTGTTTGTATATTTTAAGCGCGGTGCAGACTATCATTTTTGAGTGTCATTCAAGGGACAAAATCTAAGAATGATAGCAATGAGTATGGAATAATCTTTAATGTAAGTCTGCACCTTTGAAAGACACACAACCAACATGTTGGCATGCTTTGTGAACACATCATTCAGCTTCTCGACAACATGTTGTGAATAATAGTCTGTCATCTAAAAACTTTCATTCGTCATTCAAGAACATATTTTAGCGTTGTTGCACTAACGCACTTACAGTGTGCGGAACACACAGCGTTCGTAAACACCCTTGTTCTTTAAAAATTTTGCTTGAATGTTACATCTTAAATGTGAGCATGTTCAAGTTCGATCCCTAGAATAAATTTGAGCAAGAGAGAGCGCAACTTGAATGACATTAAAGAATGATAGTCTGCATCGCGCTATATGCCCATAAACGCCTACAAAAATGCTAGATAACTCTAAAAACGTTCGATTGGGCAACAAACTTTGACAGATCGAGATTAAAACTAAGTCTACATTGAATTACCAATTGAAAACGCCAACAGTATGACGTTGAAGCCTAAAAGTATACAGTCTATATTTCTACAAAATTAATGTTGCATATTTTTAGTCAATACTTTTTTTTAAATATTAAATAAATCTTTTGACTTTCAATAAAAAAATAGACTTTATATTTTTGGTTATAAATTTTTGTTTTTATTGAAATTATGATTTATATAGGTTTCGTTAAATAATTTTAATATATAACTATACTTATGTTGATTAGCATAAACATATTAATTACATACAATAAAATCCTTTTTTGTTTATTCAAAGAGTAAATATGAATTTGATTATACAATGAATATACTTAATATAATTGATTCTGATAAATAATGTATACATATGATGATTTAAAAATGTGATTATTAACATAAATGAAATACAAAGTTTAGTTTATCAATATATGTAAATGTTATAAATATTTATCAATTCAAAATTATTTTAAAAATATATTATTGTAGTTTTGCAATTACTATAAGTGTGAAGATAGCATAGAAAAATTTTTTGAATTTAGCAAATGAATATAAATTTGAAAAAAAAATAATTGAAAAAATGCATCTGTAATCCTATTGGCACTCTAGCTCCTGCGAAGTCATATTAATTTTATTTTTTTTTGCAGTAATAAAAACAGTTTAAGAAAAAATTTCTTTAATAAAATATTTTAATTGTTTTTTTTTATATTCAAAAAATTTTGAAAAATATTTTGTAATTATTTAACGAAATAATTATTGACCTTTGCAAATTACTAATTAATTCAATTTATTCAATTAAATGTGTTATTGCACGTTTTAGCAGTAAGTAAAGTATATAAGAGTGAGTAATTTTTTTTTTGAAATGTTTATAATTAGAATTTATTATTTTAATTTTTACAAATCTTAAATTTAAAAACTAATAATTAATAAATAACTAATACATATATATATAATAGAAAATTTAAGGTTTATTTATATATTACAAAATATTCAATTGGGCTCCATCGTTGATTTGTAAACGCAATTTTTTATAATTTTCACAAGTTTACAATAAAAATAATTAAAAAAACATTATTCAATTAGTTTTTAAAATAATTAATTAAAAATTATTAAACACAATTGCAGTGCGTTTTGTAGTACTATTAAATGTTCTTTTCTTTCAAATATTTATTTTTATTAATAATCATTTTTTGTTTATAATTATTTGTGTGTTTTTTTTTCTTTTTGTTATAAACTTATTGCAATACTGTTTAGTATACATTTAATGCATTTTAAATATAAATTTAATGTTATTAAAAATTAATGTGGATTAATGTTAATGAGCAAAAATGATATATGTATGTATATATTAAAGTAATATTAAATATTCATTTCAAAATTCAGTAAAACTTCGAGTCATGATTGAGTTTTGCTTATATGCTAAAAAATACATATTTCTTATTTAATAATTATTATTTTTTAATTTTAATTATAATTATAATATAAATGAATCAGCTTTAGCTTTACTGTGTCGCTGTGGGCCAAGCGATTTTAGCATCGATGCGCTTGTAGGCCAACATACAGTGTTTGCCTTTGGCAGCTAAACGTATATCCTGTGGACATTCAATATCACTGAGCAAGGTCTCTTCACCGTTGACCAACTTGAAGAGCGCATAGTCTTGAGGATTTGTAATCCGTGCCTTGTGTGCAATTATGCGACAGACTTCACGGGTTGTTGTATGCGGACGTACCGGCAGTGTGCGAGTTTGTAGAGAGCCATTGCATTCATCCGGAATGATGACACGCAGTACAGAAGAACAGGCGGGCAAAGAAGAAGAACGCCACTGAAAAAATAAAGAAAAAAAATTATTATTGTATAAAACTGTAATTTAAGCAAAAATGAATAAACCTATAGTAAACTTCATGCATATTTTAGATAGAAATATATATATACTGTATATTAGAAATTATATTTACATAAGATTTATCTATTATATCTATTATATATATACCTCCAGCTCAAAAAGTACCCAGATTTTGTAAACACACAAATTTAAATTTTATTCCAAATTTATTTTATATCCTTTAAAATATGCTCCTTCTGAAGCGATATACACATGCCAACCCTTAACCCCATCTTCCATACACCCATGCAGTTATGGGTTTTAGTTCTTTCAGCGAATTCTCTTTTACCGATTCAATCGACTCAAAACGATTGCTCCACGAAGGAGCAATTTGAGTTTCGGGAACAGGAAAAAGTCGCACGGATCCAGATCTGGCGAAAATTTTTGAATTACTTAAGGAGTAGTTAACAAACAACAAAATCCTGATACTTTTTGAGCAGAAGGTAAGACTTGGTTTTTGGTTGAATTTGTTGATAGTTGTGTTTTCAGATTTGTGTAAGTAGCATTAAGGAGTCATTTTTTTTTGAAATTTAGACACAAAATATGTGTACTGAAGGTTGACCGGAATGTTTGATATATAAAGAGCTTTCTCATCAGAGCGTATTGTAGGTTGACCGGTCTGTTAGAAAAAGAATAAAATGACTCATCAAAATAGTGAGCACTGAGTTAAGGAGGTGTGTGCGAAAGAGCACCCGAGACTCGGTGGGAAGATTATCGGTGAGTAAAATCACAAAACTAAGATTATGGCGAGAAAACTATTGGGGAGCTATTGGTTATCATTGAAATATTTCCTGTATTCAATTATTCATAGACAATGTCTTTAAACTGCAAGTATCAAGAGTTGATCCCGTACCCTACCTAATTTGAAGCTTTGAGTCAGTGTCATTAGTCAACTGAAGCAAAGAAGTACTTGACGTGTATGTTCAAACTTGAAGTTTTGTTATATAGCTTCTTTTCAACACATGTTTTATCATTTTAATCGATATTTGATAAATTTTGATAGCTAATACCTTGCTTTTTTGGGGTATATTTAATCGAACATCTTTCCTACTTTCCGTAAATTCCGAGAGATTATGTATTAATATTGAATTCTTTCAGTAATGCGTATTACACTTATTTGGGGAGTATTTCAAATTGTTAGATTGATTAGAATCGAAATTTTACATTCTCTGTCTTATGGAGGTAGTTAATCTCAATGACTTGAGCTATTAAAAATAATTATAAGGAGCTGATATAGTAAATTCATCTACTCATTTCTTTACAATTCCTTTACAAAAATTTCTTTAAAAAACGGAAGAAATATTTATAAATAATATAACATTTTAAAGCGACAAAAAATATATAAAAAACAGTACATATAATACTCTCACTACAGTATCTACTTATCTACTTATACATTCAAATATTTCAAGAAATTAAAATAAACTTATTTCACATTAATAAAATAAAAGAAAAAAATTATTATTAGTAAACAATTAATATTATATTATTATATAAACATGCACATTAATTCTAATATTCTACTTTAATACTTTACGCATTCTCATTATAGCGTTTAACCATTTGCTTTACAAAGCCTTGCTTAATGGTACTCACATCTAATGATCCAGAGCCGCTTTCATTTTCCGATGCCATAAAACTCTTCAGTACATGTACTGCACTGCACAGTGCTGTTAAGTAATAGCCCGGTTCGCCATTCAGTAATGTTGGCTGTAATAGACCCCACATGAATTCAGCCTCAATCTCAGCGCCCACAAAACCACATTTAGCCACAACATATACCAAAACTGGCAAGAAATCATCCGCACCCAATTGCTGACCACGTGGACAACCTGTTGCATCGAATATCGTTGATATCACACATAAAAACAGATCCAATTTATCTAATGGCAATTCAGCTTCCTGCAAGCGTAACAACAAACTCGATATGATTTGCAGTGAAGTTGATGAGGGTGGTGCAACAGAGGAGCGTATGCCGAAATCAGTGGCACAACGTCCACAGGCATATTTGACATTTTGTGCCAGTAATTGTATATCTTCGGATCGTGTGTAGTAATCGACAAACATGCCGTAGAGGTGTTCACGCAATGGCAACACCACTAATTGATGCATCACAGTCTCAAGTATGGCATCCAGATTGAGAAATTCATCTGATTTAAGACGTGAGCGTGCTGTTTCCACTTCTTGATGAAATTTACCTTCACCATGTTTGACCAAATAGTTTTTCATGCCATTCATAAATTGACGCATATTACGCATCACCACTTGTGGTGCAGCTTCACGAGATTCTTTAGTGCATGATATGAAATTTTCAATGTTTCGTGCAAAGGTCGAGCTTTGATCGTGTGCAAGTTGCAGTGTGTAGGAGCGCACCGAATCGCCGGGTCCGCTGCCGTATGGATTGATTTTATTACGTGGATGACCTGCAATAGAAGAAAAGAATATAATAATTTCGTAAGTAAATTTTTGTTAAATTTTATTTTACTTAAAGTTGTATCATTTACTGATAGCGCCATGAAAAGCTACTAACTAGTTTTATGGTGATTTTTGTATTATTAAACAATTTTATACGCTGATAAGATAAAATAATATATAAGTAAACATAATAAGTTGGTACAAAAATAATTGCATATTTATAGGCGTACCGATAATGCTTCCCTATTACACTTTAAAAATTTTATTGAAAAAAAAAAGAATAATACTGATATTAAACAATGAGAAATAACTATAATTAATTAATTAATTTTATAGCTGGTTTATAATTTTATTACTGAACTTTTACCTCAAATTTTCAAAACTCTACGTTAGAACAAAAGAAGTCAAGTATGGGTTTGAATCAGTTGTGTTATTAACACTAACTTTGAGCTTCAAATTAGACAGGGTACAAGTTTAACCCTGGGTACTTGCAATCTAACAAATGATTTGCTAATAATTAAATATAAGAAATATTTCTTCTATTCATCTATATATATATACATCTATATATATATATATATACATATACATATATATAATACTTCTATATATAAATATAAAACAATATTTCTTTAATAATATACCCATTATTTAAGAAATGTCTATTTGCACAGATATGGATATTTGATTCTTTACTGACAACATGTATCTCTTTCTCTTACAATCAGTTTGGGTTGTTTTTAAAAATTATATTTATTATAAAAATGTCTTCACACAATTCAACCAATCTATTATCCAATCCAATTTTGGTAGAGTTAAAATTAAATACTGAATAACTAAACTTAGATCTTTAAAAATATCATTTGTCGTGGGTTCAAAAAACCCACGAAGTAGTTTGATATTTTCAACAAAACAGCATAAAATCTTATCATTTTTGCAATAAATTAAAGAGTACAAGTCCATAGAATCTAAGATTTATATTCTATGGTATTAATATTCTGCTCTGAAAGACACTTCATTAAGTTTTTTCTGAAATTATGACATTTGACATTATTTTTTCAAACAAAACAATAAAAAAAAGAATAAACAAAATAAGTGCATAAGATCCAAGATTTATATTTTACGTTATTAGTATTCTGCTCATATCCATAAGCAGTTACAGAGACATAAAATATTGAAGAAGTTATATTGGACATGGGCAGCAAACATTACGAACAAGTAAAAACTCACTCAAATAACAATATATGTATATAGACTCCACCAACAGGAGCTAATAAGGTAAAGCACCTCAAAAGATTATGACGGATCGACCTAACTCAATAGTCTATTTACCTAGTATATCTAATTTCTTACGCATCTCATTTGTCAAATGTAAAAAAGTACTGTCTAATCGCAGACAGTCATATATAAATTTTGGAGAGACAAAAGAAGAAGCATTCTGTTCAGTGATATAAGGAAGTTCATTCAGTTCTTTCTGAAACTATAACATTTGTCTTAGTCACTTAGGTCAGACAGTCATATACAAATTTTGGAGAGACAAAAAAAAGAAGTATTCTGTTCTTCATTAAGGTCTTTCTAAAACTATAACATTTGTCTTAGTCACTTAGGGTTAGGGTTATGGACAACCAGTCACATGTCGAATGGTCACTTTAATTTATTTTTCACGTATTACGAATCATTTAAATTAAATAAAAAAAAAACATGTACATTATATTCAACATTCCCCCCGCAGTTTTGATTTGATTTGCTTTTAATAACACAAAACATATTATTCACCTGCACTATTTTTGTTGATAAAGCAAAATGTCGTATGCGTCACATTAACATTTTTTAATATAAAAACACATTTCAAGCGTCTCTTTGTACTCTTGTATTTTTGTTTTTTTGTTTTAGCACTAAATAATTTTAACTTACCGATTACTAATTCCCACAAAAGTCGAAAGAGACCTTTAAATACTAAGCCGCAACCTTTGCTATTGCAATTCTTATCTTCCATGCATTTGCATTTGTTGGCAAAATGACGATATAAACGTTTGTTCTGTGCAACTGCAAATCCGAATCCCTTGCACTCCTCAATGTGACTGATGTTAATCAATATATTACCAGTATCGTCGAGTTTGAAAAATTCCTTAATATCATAATGATCACAGGTGCTATTATGGGCAGCATTCGCATTGTTAAGTTCACTTGATGAATTATTTGTCGATTTGCTGCTATCCTTACTAGGGCATTTGCCTATGGCTCCCATAATGGAAGATGCCAAAGCTTCAGTCTTAAGTTGCTTGCGATTGATGGCACAGTCTTTTGTAATACGAAAACATTTCCCTTGTGTTGATGATATTGCTGTTGTACTAATTGTTGTTGTGGTCGTTGTACAAGTTGTCGTCAATGTTGTAATCGTTATAGTTTCGTTGTCATGATGGGCTTTGCATGAATTTCGCCCATTACTGTCAATGCAATTCTCCATTCCTTCATCTAATTTGCGTTTTCGTCGTTTAAGTTTTTTTTGTTGCGGCAAAGCAATACCAATCTCAATGCTATCAGCAAAAAGAATTTCAAAAAATGTGCGTTTATATTGCGGCTTTGCAACATCCGTTAAAATTGGCAGCGCTGAAGTATCTTTAAGCATGCCGCTGATATCTATGCAACTACTATCGCTGCTGTTGGCGCTGTCTTGTGTATGAATTTGATCATTGCTCGTATGCGACGCAATATCTTGTGTACGTCTTTGTATTAGCTCATCTTCAAAGTCCGCCGAAAAGAAATTGTCATCTGCGGTTGCTGGACTTCGTACAATTTCCCAATCGGACATCATATTTAGAAATACTTCCTCTTCTTTGTAGAGACGTACGTGTTCGGGATCATGAAAAAATTCTTCAGGATCGAGTATTTGAATTTCGTGTTCACTCAGACTACACAATGATTTTGTCATTTCGTCATCGATGGATGTTGTTGCTGTTGCCGCTGATATTGTTCTGTTGCTAGTGCTAGCAGCATCACTTACAATTACACTTGCTGCTCTTAGATTTCTATTAGCTGGCGTTTTTTTAATACGCTTATGTTTCTGTTGACTACGTTGGCTCTCGCGGTGCTCGTGTGACGATTTTTTGAACCAATTCATGATAAATATTATACCGATTCTTTCCAGATAAAACGAATTGTCGAAAACGAAAGTTTCTCATCGGCACCGTATGTGCACACAACAAAATTATTTTTTTCTCGTTGCTGTTTTGTTAATAATTTTATTTTAAATAAAACTAGCGTTACGCGCGACACTATTCAGTCTTTTTATATGACTAGAATTTAATTATTTTACTGTGCTTAACACCAAAAGTAGTGAGAGGTCGACTATTTCACAGATTGTTTTAACGATCGGCACGCGTCTTCTGTGAACCACACGCGATCCGCCGATTCTTTTTAATTTTGAGTAATAATTTTCTTGACTTAAAATCGTTTATTTTGTTCTTATCACAACCAACGCAGAATTAATAATGTTGCATTCTTCAGGCTGCGATTATCTTTATAGTAAAAATGCATAGAAATGCAGCATTCAAGCGAGAGCGAAAACCACGCGATCGTTTGAGTACTTTCTGTTGTGTTTGAACTCTGGGATTTTGGATTTTCTTAATCTCTTAGGTAGAAAACTGCGAGCATTTCGCGTAATAATTTCTTCATTTAAATATTTCAAAGCAAAAATTTTTATCAGTTAAGGTATGACGTATTGTTTGAGAGAAGACTGAGAGGTATGAAATTTCTTCTAATGTAAGGTAATTACAGGTAGATCATATATTATTTTTATGTTGAGAGTACAGTTTTTTGTTTTGGTTTTACCGCTCTTAGTAAGAGCATAGGCTGGAGAGTTTGTTGGAGAAATATGAGTAACTAGTAATGACTGTACTTGATTTTGCAAAATTGCAAATTTTGTTTAAATTTTTGATTATTTTCTAACGAAACCGATCGATTTTATTTAGGTACTGTAGAAACGGTAAACCATAAATGGAATAATAGCCAAGGAAGAAGTTGAAAAACTTGAATTATCGAAATGTTAAGGCACACAAAAAAAATAAATCTCTATATTTTCAAAGTTAAGAATTTTGATCATTCCGATCTAATAATTTCAACATTATTTTTTACAAATTTAAAAAATTAGAATCTTTTAACCTAAAAACGGAATATAGAGATATATTTAATCTTTAATCATTTTTATAAATTTAAAATATTTTTGAAATTTTTAGATTAGATAAATTTAATTTAGATCTAAACAATCTGAAAATCGTCTTTTTTTTTATTAAAAAACGAAAACAAATATATATTTATTCTTGATTTTTATAAATCAGTAAAGATATATTTATTCTTGATTTTTATAAATCAACAAAAAAAAAAGTATTAAAATTTTTTAGATTTGCAAAAATCTGATCTAGATTCAAACTATCTAATAATCGATTTTTTCTTAAAAAACGAAAATAAAGATATTTTTATTTTTGATATTATTTGATATTGATATACCTGATATTAATTTTATAAACTTAAAAATTTGAGTTTTTCAATCTATAGTTTCTGATTAAAAAACGAAAATAATGATATATTCATTCTTAATATCATCTCAGAACAATCGCATTAAAGTTGTACTAACCGCTTTTTAATGATAAAATAGCTTTTAATTTTGTTTGATAGGTTGTGGTGCAGATGATATATTAAATCCGCTTAACCAATTAATGAAAAAACATATTAAGATTTATATATTACATATACATCAAACTCTTTATTTTAAGCGCTTCCTCATATGGTATGTCATAGTTTAGGCAGACCATTAAATTCAATGTTCTGATTTATTTTTTAAAATGCTAGAATAAGTACCCATTAAAAATTTTAGCATTTTGGGGTAAATTATATTTTACTTTACTATTTATATTGGCAAATCAACGCAATCTCTTAGTCGACCAACAAAATCTTCTATATTATACGAATATTTGATCATTGAGTGCAAGTTGTGTTAATGATAATGTTA